GTCAGTCAAGCCTGCTTTAAATTTAGATTTAGATTTAATATGTTGATTTGTGGTCTCTTCTGGTTCCAATTTGGGGATAGTGTGTTTTCTGTGGAGTTTTGTACTGCCTCTTAAAAAGTACAGAAAAATGGGGTGAACTAGAGTGAGACAGAAAACCCCCAGTTATTCTGGTTTTCCACTTTATTATAGAGTTGTTATCATAAGCCTTTTGTATTAAAAACTCATGTTTCAGGCAAATAGCCACTGCTTATGTAAGATATTTATTTGTCTGCCTGATGTGGGGTGTAAGAGTTGTAAATCTCCAAAGTGTGTAAGAGTCATCTTTATACAGATTCAGTAATAATAATAAACATATGTAATAATTTATTAAGAAATGATAATTTATTGACATAGTAATTTATTAAGAAATAATAATTTTTAATTGTTATTATTGAGAGTCACATCTCCTACACCCAATAAATATATTCATAGATAATCATAATTATTATGTTATATTATTATATTACATTATTGTGTATTTATATATCAATATAATAAATAGTATACATATTCATATTATTTAAATATAATTATTATGTTTATTATTTAAATATAAATAATATTATGGTTTTTTATTAGTATATATTTTAATTATATATAATGATAAATAATAACATTTAATTAAATTAATATTAAATAATAATAATAATAGCAAAATACTTATAAAGGCTCCAAGACCACAACATTAAGTAGGATTCACTGCTGTGAAGTTCAGAGTCTGTAATCCTCAAAATACTTGGGAATCTTTTCTGCCAAACTTGTGCTTTATTAGTAAATACCATTCAATTTAACTTTTTGTACAAGAATATGTTGATAGATTTCATAATTATCTCATTCCATTGTAATTTGAAAAAGAAAAACAGAACAACAGAATTAATTAGCAGGTCTGAGTCACTTATGTACTTTATTTGATGAGAACTGACAAGATTCTGGTCAAGAAGTAATGAAAAAAAATTAAAAGGGAATTTAAACTAATTAAAAATACCAAAATACCAGTCTGCAGAAATATGATATTTAATCAGGAGTTTCTTTCAAACATATTACTTAATTAGTAGTTAATTAGTGTTGCAAAGCGTATTTTCAAGGTTCCAAGTGCTCAGAACTGCCAGGTCTGACAGAACAGAGCTCATCCACATCTGCTCCCGTGGCAGGTTGATAATCCAGGGCTATTTTACACACACGGTGTTTCCTTCTGCTTTCCAAACTAGCTGGATAAAATAACACCTATTCTCAGCAGTCCTCGGCTGAAAACCAGCTGGAAGTTCCCCCCCAGACCAGAATAGTGGAATTAATGGATATTTCACCCTTCCCACACCCAAAATGTTGGCAATACTGAAGTTTTTTTATTTCCAAGCAGAAAATCTTCTTCCAAGTTCAGGGATAAAATTCCTTTCTTTACTTGCTGGAGTCGAAATGAACCCAGGAAAGCTTTGTGCTGGTTGTCCCTCCTTCACTTCCCATTTCAGGCATCATCAGTCTGGAAAACGATGCTGAAAGGTGACTTTGGGCTGGGCAGATTGAAAGGATTTATTAAGCAAGGCTGCTGCTTCTTTCTGGTTTTTTTGCTGCCTGTGGACCCAGCTGGGAAATAATGCAAGATTTGGAAATGAAACTGGAAAAAAACCCCATCTAATATTTCATAACATGTCTCATGGACCAGCAGGGCAGCAGATGGGAGACACTTGTCTGGGTCTGACACATGTCACTGTGTCAGGGTGTTCCCAACCTTGTCCGCTGAAAACTGCTGAAAAATAAATCAGATTATTATAGCAGATGGCTATAATAGCAAATGGCACATTTCCAAGCAACTGGACATGTCCACACAGCATTAAGTGTCACAGATCACAGGGAAAAGTTCCCTACTGCCTTTGTGATTAGTATTATTAAACAAAATAGACTAAAGGTATAAATTCTTTAAAAAGAACGTGATTGTTTGAACTGGTTTCTTTTTTTCCCCCACAGGTTTGTTGGGTTTTGTTTGTTTGGTTTGTTTTTCTGGCACTGTGTATGCAGTGCTTTCAAACTGTATAAAACACCATCAGAAAAAAAAAAATCATCCTTTTAGTCATTTATCACACTGCTGTGTGAGGGAAGAGCTGTTAAAGAAAACTGATGAACACAAACAAGTGTTTATTAACACTTTTGAGTCCTGCCAGGGAGTACTGGAAGAAAACGAGGAAATGAAAACGAGCTTCCAAGGGCAAAATTTTCGAGGGAGATGGACCCAAACCCATAAGGGTAAATACAGCACCCTGCAGAGAAATAATTGCCACAGGAGATGGAATTTGTGATAAAAGTATTATAGTCCAAAGCAATTTGCAACAAGAAAACCAAACCAGCATTTGTTAAGATTTGGAAAACACAGAATTACTGCACATCAAACTCTAAGGCACAAAAGACTTTAAAATTAATTTTCATGGCATCACCCAATGAGAAATTTAAAGTTTTGAGTATTTTCTTCTGAAATCCATGGGTTTTTTTGAAACACAAATGCAGGGAATTCATTGCCTGAGCTGAGAATTGGGGCTGGAATTGCGTAGGTCATCCTTGGTTTTTGGGGTTTTTTTGGGTGTTTTCCCACTCTGGGACAGAAAAATTCCTGTTGCTGAAACAAATCCCTCCGAAGTTTTATTTGGATTTTTTTTTTTTTAACTGATATCTACATTTTTTCCTCTACTGATCATGTAAAATATCTGAGCAAATTAAGAATTTTCCACCACCTTTGGCCACTTCTGTATGTCTCCTTATTTAAAGGTAGGGCACAGAGTTTTTGATGTGATTTATGCCTTAAATATCAGTTTTGCACTGGTGTTTTCACACGGGTAGAAACCTACCAATGGCCCAAAGGATTGGGTTTCACCGAATGAGGATGCACGTGGGATAACCCAGAAAGAGAAATATTTCAGGAATATCTCAGTTCTTGTGGCAGTTCAAATGTGGCAAATTCCACCTGAAAGCTCAAAGCACATTAGAGGACAGCGCAGCTGCTACTGTTACCTGAAATGTAACCAATTAACGTGAAAAAACCCAGCATTTTTTGTGTCTCGGAGAGTTGTGTGGAGAGGGGGGGGATATTTGTGAATTATTGCTACTCCTCGGTGGCGCAGCACCTGCTATAAATAAAACCACAAGCTGTAGGGGGTAGCATAAACAAACACACTCTGCCATCCTCGTGACTAAAGCACAGCCCTCACCAAAAAGCTGTTCTGCGTTCTGTGAGCGCAGAGGAGAGAGCACTGCAGAGTTCAAAAGGACTCTTAAATAAAAGCTCATTTTCGGTTTCAGGGAATTCCAACGTGGTGAGGCCAAATCCCACCATGAATATTTAGTATCTGTGTGTCCTATCTGTTGTCGCTTTTTGGACTATAACCTTTTTTTCCTCTGACTGTTCTGGACAGGACTTTCCTCACCCTCAGGAGATCTATCGGTGCTTATTCAGCCTCTCACTGAGAAGATGATCAGAAGGCTGAAGAAGACAGAGGGCAGAGATATAAAGCTTGATGTGAAATGAAAGACAGGCCACATTCGAGAAAAACAGCAAAACAATCCACTGTTTTCCAGCCTCTAAGCCTGTATAAGCAGGTACATTGAGTCCTGGTCTAATAAAGACTCCAATGCATGTCATTTATATGCAGTTTATAAACTGTTGTTTAGCACCTTGTATAATATATATATATAATTTCAATCTAATAATTAAAAGTTTACATTTTTCATGGGAACAAAATATTCCAATTAAATAAATGGAACAAAGTGGAAAAGCCATTGAAAAGCCAGGATTCTCCACAAAACTACTGGGAAAAGAAAAAAATTTGCCAGTCCCTCAGTGGATTCACTGAGGAGGAATTCACGAGTCTACACTGATGCTAAAAATGTAGATGCATGAATGGAGACTGCTCTGTGGAAAAAAAACCTTCTATATAGACTACTTTAATTAGCATGAAGTGTGGTTAAACTAGGATAACTCCACATGCATCATTCCTTTCATGCCACCATAAAACTTAATCTGGTTTAGATTCAGCCACTTCCAAACCAACCTTGGGAAAAGGCAGTCACCTCAGAATAAGAATAAGAACGATATTGAGAATGAGGCCACTTTATGGAAGGGAAATTAAATTAGACCTTTTCACAGAGCAGCAAAATGCCTTTCTGTGCACGAATTCACAAGCAGGCTCTTGGCACAGATTTGCTCTCGGGGGAGCCCAAAGCAGGTCTTTAGTGAGGTGCTCAGCATCCTGAATTCCCATGGACTCCCTTGATCAGAGCTCTGACAAGAGAAACAAAATACAAGCGGCTGTGTAAAGCAGGACTTTGCTTTCTGTGCTCTGAGAACAGGGCTGTGTTTGTTACCTTTAGCCCTCTGTTTGACAGGGTTTATTCACCGGCCCTGCAGCAGCAGTTCTGGGATTGTGTTACCTGTCTGAAACACCTTTCACAGCAGAGACCTTCAAGAATATCCCATTCTTGCAGTTTGAACCAATTAAATGCCTTTTTTTTTTTTTTAATGAATAGTTTATTCACCTAAACGACTGTGAATTTGACCTAAATCTACCAGGCAGCTTTGAACCTGTTTTCAAGTGAGGGGGAGAGAAGAGGATGTTTTTAATTTTAGCATTTGGAAAAGAAGAGACGTTTCCACTCTTCATATCTGATTTACAGCACCAGAGGTTTATGGACACCAAGGTGGCAATTAGAGAGCACCATCAGAGAGGTCAGAAAGGTAACTGAGCCCTCTTTAGTGGGCTTTGCAATGTATAGTGGTGATAGATGTAGACTTTGCAATGTCCCAGTGTTGAGTGGTCATACAGGTGCTGCATGAACTCTCATGGCATTTATTTCTGGAGGGAAACACAGTTTCTTACAAAGCCTAAGTGATATGGAAAAAACAACCCTGTCACTCATGTTACTTTGCATCCAAAATAGAAAACTTGTGAGCGTTGTTTTTGGAAGGAGACCAATGAATTTTGAGGGAAACCAGGATCTGTTTCTTTTTACAGCTATAGAGGTTTAATATCTAAAGTGGTGGTTGAAGATTTCCTTCAGGTTAAACATTCCCATTTTGAAGAGCAACCCTTCAGCTTTTTCACACCTTAAATCCTACGTGGTTCGCACACCTAATTTTGGTCTCATGGGATGCTGCAGGCCTGCAGCTGGTTCTGGAATGATCAGGGATTCAGCTACATGAAATATTGAAAACTAATAAATATTAACCAAGTGCAAGCAGCCTTTTGTGGGTCTCTGTGCCCTTCAACTTTAACAAGAGGGATACTGAGTGAAAACTGAATCCACTCCACACAGAATGGTAAAATGATTCCTTTAATTTTTTCACAAGAATCTGTAATGCTCAAGGCACCAAAATAACGAGAGGAGAAAACCTTAAGGCACTGTCAACTTAGAAACCACAAACAGCAGAGGGGAGAAGAGGAAATTTGTTCCACAGAGTGATTCTGCTTCTTTTGGAATGAAGGCAAAATGTTCACAACTTCAAGTGCCTCCAATTTTTTACCATTAAAATCAGTGATCAAATATTTTCAGATACGAAGGGTTTTGCTCGGTTTTGTTGTTGCTGTTGGTTTTGTTTGGGGTTTTTTGTTTGGGGTTTTGCTTGTTTGTTTTCACACAGTACCCACTCTCCCATGGGAGTATAAAGCACTGGAGAAATCCCAGACATTTAGTGAACACTTCCCCAGCACGTTCCCCAACACATCTACTACTTTGAACACCCAACTGACAAGTTTCCTGGGACAGAAAGGAAGGGAAAAGACTTCCAGAAACCTTATGATGGGTTGAGTTTTCCTGGCTGAATTCCAGGTGCCCCTCCAGTCACTCCCTGAATCCCTCTTCTCAACTGGACAGGAGAGGGAAAATACAACAAGAAAAGGCTCATAGGTCAAGCTAAGGGAGAGATCACTCCCCAGTTACCATCATGGGCAAAGTAGACTCGACTCGACCTGGGGGGGGAATTAATCTATTGCTAATCAAATTCAGGTAGGATAATGAGAAATAAAACCAAATCTTAAGACACCTTCCCTCACCTCTCTCTCCTTCCCAGGCTCAGCTTCACTCCCGGTTTCTCTGCCTCCTCCTGTCCAGCAGGGGGACCGGGAATGGGGGTTGTGGTCAGTCCATCACACGGTGTCTCCGCTGCTCCTTCCTCCTCAGGGCGGGGGACTCCTCACACTCTTTCCCTGCTCCAGTGTGGCATCCTCCAGGAACTTCTCCAGCCTGATTCCTTCCCTCAGGCAGGAAATTGCTCCAGCATGAGTCACGTTCCACAGGGTGCAGTCCTTCCCCAGAGCTCCCTCCCAGGATTCTTCTCCAGCACAGGCTTCCCACGGGATCACAGCCTCCCTCAGGCATCCACCTGCTCCAGTGTGGGCTCCTCCACGGGCTGCAGGTGGATCTCAGTCCACCCCACTAACCAAAACCTTGCCACCCAAACCTAATACACTCCTTTAACTCCAGTTTCTCATTACATTCTCTACAGCTCCCTAAACACAGTTATCTCCCAAACGACCACTGGCAGAGTGATATCCACACGCTGATTTAATAGCAATGATAACAGCTTGTTGTGTCTGGCCTGGAGGAGAGATTTGAGATACAAAAACACGTCTGAAAAACAAAAAATGGATCCCTTCCAACACACACTCCCCCCTCATTCTGAGCTTGCAAAATGTTTAGGAAGGGAAAACCTGAGTTATTTCTCCTTCACCAGCACGTGGAAGGGCCCTTCAGAGGATGGTGTATTCCCTCACTACACTGTGCACCTCAACACCAGCAACACCAGCGTAGAGTTCAGGCACCACCGGCTCAGGCACCTGCAGGACTGTGTGGCCATTGCTGCCCTTCACAGCTGCTTTCAGGGAGTAGATGAGCTGTGCTGGGGAAGGCCTGTGAGCTGCGTTCCACTGCCAGCAGGACTTCATGATGCCGTACCTGTGAGAGGGAGAAGCAGGGAAAGCGCCGGGAATGAGAAGCAACCAACACCAAGTGTTACCCCAGTCGGGTCATCTCATGTTTAAAACGCTCCAGAGAACTCCCCCTTTTCCTCCCTCACGTGGAGTTCTTTCAGTGCCCCTTCTCCTCCTGCCAAATGCTCAGTCTGAATGGGTTCTTTAATTATCAGTATCAGTGATACACCAAATTCAGCTTCTCACACCTGACAGAGCCACATTTTTACTAAACATCCACATATAATAAAAGAAATTATGTCTTCACCCAAGGAAATGTGCCTTAGATCTTCCCTGTGGATGCTGGGCTCGTTTCAGGGAATATCCCACTCCAGAGTAGTCCTGCACCTTGCAAGGAAGCGGTGGAGTGACAAAAGGCAAAGAACAAGTATAATTTTCACAAGAAGGAAACAGAAACAAGTGTAATTTTCAAAAGAAAGAAAAAAAGGTGTTGGTCATCAAGGGTTTCACGCAGCAGAACCCAGTGAGGAGATGTGGCAGAGGTGAGAACAAATCTTCTCAGCTTAGTCCAGGCTTAGAGATTTTGGGTAAAATCTGGTTTTCCGTGTCTCCCTCCCATTTCTCCTGCTCAATTGCCCACAAAGCCCGTGGCTTACATGGCTTGCTGGCAGTTTGAGGGCTGCTTCATGACGTTCTGCCTCTGCAGGTGTGCCAGGATGTCAGAAGGTGGCACCTCAGGATATGGGGGAGCACCTGGAAGGACAAAAGGAGCAACAGCAGAACAACTCTGTGGCAATGGTTGCAGATAACAGCTCCTGTGCAACAGAAGGATAAAATGACCTCTGAAGAAAGGCTGAGAGAAACTGCAGCTATTTAAGCTTAACAAGGTAAGATGAGAGATTGAGATATTTGATTTCAAATACAGGGAGAACTCTGCAAGGAGGATGAGAAAGCAACAAGCCTTCCACGTTCCTCGTGGGTGAAACACATAAACAAAAAATTAAACTTCACTAGGAAAAGAAAAAACTTGGTTCATACAACAGGAAAAACTCCCTGTCAGGGTGATGAAGTACTAGAATAGATTATTTCACCTGCTTTGAAAGACTTCTAAGAGGAAAACAGAAGGTAAAGTGACACAGTATAGCTGCTCCCATCAAGGGGCAGATGGCTGGATGAACTCAGTGTTTTCTGGCTTCTCACAGCCTGTTTTCCTCTGCTAAGAAAACATTTTCCTTTTTTAAATAACATTTAGACAAACTGCCTTTGTTGAGAGTGAAGTGGTTCCGATGAATGTGTCACCTTAGGTGGGGGTCTGTTGGGATTTTGACTTTCATGATTTTGAACTGACTTTTTCAGTTGTTATTCTGAAACAGTAACTTCGATATGGAAAATGAAAATCCAGAAAATGAAAATCCCAAAAATGAAAATCCTTTCCCTATCAAGATCCACTGGTTTTTTTCCTACCGCAATTCACACTGACAGAAAGCCTGAAAGGAACTGTCAAGACTTTGAAGGTTGGGAAAAAAACAGGGCGCTTACTGAAGTGGCCCAACTTTACATGCTGAAATTTGAGATTTTTGGGTCTTGTTAATTTGCTGCTTCCTGACATACTTTTTTTTTATTATTATTATTATTATTATCACAAAAGCTCCTTACCTAATGTAATCATCTCATACAGTAGAATTCCAAAAGACCACCTGCAAGGGAAGAAAATAAAGCAATGCGGAGCATTACGCTGCGACTGGACATGCCTTGGGGACACGAAAGGGACACATAAAGGAGCGACAGGGACGGGTCTGACAGACCCCTAGCCCAAAAATTAAACCCTACACGTCTGCCTGGATGCTGGGGGGTTTCCTCAGGAGCCTCTCCGGGGCCTGCCACTTGACTGGCACCCCCCGTGCGACCGAGGTGGCACCGCAGGCGTGGGTTTCGTAGGCCAGGCCCAAACCACAGAGCTTGGCCGTGAAGTCGGGATGGAGGAGGACGTTCCTGGCAGCAACATCCCCGTGGAACAGCTTCTTCTCCTCAAGGTAAGCCTGGAAAGTTGGAAAAGAAAGAAGACCGCGGTCGTTTTAAGGGGACATTCAGTGGATATAAATTTTCGCTCAGTTTGAGCTCGTCTTCCACGCTGAGGAATAGAGGGACAGGCTCGCCAACATCCCTGCAAGCACACTGGGCTCTGTTTTAACAAAGCACTCGTTCCCAATGCTTAGGCCAAGAAGATTTAGGCCACCATGAAGATTTGTGTTGCAGTCAAGCCAGAAGGAAAAAAAAATGCAGTAAATGTGAGCAGACTTACCAGGGCTGCTGCAACCTGCTGTCCAACTTCGTAAACTTGCCTCTCAGTGAGGTCATAGGGGATCCCATCCATTGCCATTACATCCTGGAGACAAATTGGTTTGGTTCCAACAAATGCCACAGCAGTAGGATAGTGGGGAATGTTTCCTTCTGATCTCAAAAAATGAGCACTATCCTATCTTTTGCTCCCCCTGTGTCATTTCACAGTTGGTCGTAAACTGACTGAAATGCAGAACCCCAGAATGTGCTGAGTTGAAAGACAGCCCTCAGGATCATCAAGTCCAATCCTGGCTCTGCACAGGACACCCCAACAATGCCTGAGAGCACTGTCCAAACATCTCCTGAACTTAGACACCCTTGGTGCTGTGCCCACTGCCCTGGGGAGCCTGTTCAGTGCCCAACCACTCTCTGTGTGAAAAAACTTTACCTGAGATCCAACCTAAACCTCCCCTGATATCTGGGTTGGTTCTTTCAGCTTGAGTTAACATTTCCAATGGACTGCATATTTTCATACTATCAGACCTCATGCTTTCAGATTTTTATTCCTCATCAGCAGATGTGGAGCCATCGCTGCTTTTCCACCTGTGCATCACTTCTTTTTATTGGAAAATCCTTCTGCAATTCCTCTGGGTCAGCCCTTGCCTTTACTGGCTCGAGTCATTCAGCAACCACCGTCACCTCACTGTCACCCCATTTTCTGTGTTATTAATACATGCAACAATCAGCACCAGGTCCTGGAGAGTTGACCTCCCTCCAGTGAAAGCACCAATCTTTCCTGCTTATATTCTATTTCTCGTCTTTTAACCAGTTAGTTCTTAGTTAATTATCTTCTCCCTGCTGTTGTAACTGCTGTTTCCTTAAAAGTATTTGGAGTGGGACATCATTTCAAACTTTGCAAACTCAGACACCTGTGTCAATTCTCACTCTAATTCCAGTGCCTGCTCTACCCTTCAAGGAGCTCCAGTGGTCTGCAAAGCTGGGCTTGGCTTTGCAGAACTTCTCACTTTGGTCATCTTCTCCAAACTATAGAACATCCATGGAGGAACCCACTAAACCTATTCTAGTTCAGACCTGTGTGGAACTCCTCTGGGGGATGGAAATAGTTTAGAGTGATAGAGACTGAAAGAATCATCTCTGACTGATGGGCTGTGACTTATGGATAAATATGCACCTAAGGAATTTAAGCAGCTGTTCTGTCATCACTTCTTTTGACTCACCTTCCGACACATCCACAGAAACGTCAGCAGGTCACCAAGAGACACATCTTCCATGATCATGTAAAGTGGGAGTTTGTCCACACAGCATCCAACCAGTTCAACCAGGTTCTGGTGACGGCCAAGATTTTGATGGAATTTAATCCTTCCCAGGAAATCCTTTACTTCCTGAGGACTGGACAGGCCTGAAAGAACAAAAACAAACAAACAACAAATGAAAAACACAACAAAAAACTAAACCCACACACACACAAAAAAACCCAAACAACAACAACAAAAACAAACAGCAGCAGCAAAGAACAGGGTGAGCAGCTTAAAATCAAGATGGTCAGGAATCTTTAATCCTACCAGGACATTCCCACAAAAACAACATTCTGACTAGCTGACACAACACTGAACACAGCTTGTTCTTGCCCAGCAGTGATGGCAAAGTTCTGCCCAGCATCCAAGATCTGTCCCACGGTGGATCCTGCCCACGTGCCTCACCTTGTGAGGCTTTCAGCACCACAGTCCTCGCCCTCCCAGAGCTCCCAGTTTCCAGCTGTGCCCTGTAGATGCTCCCATAGGCACCATGCTTTATCAGCTGGAAGGTGCCTGGCAGGAGCTTCTCTCGTGGTATCTGCAGTTCTTTCAGAGTCAGGGATGCAGATTTGAGCAGGCCCTCCACGGATGTCTCACTCAGCTGGATGTAGCCGTTCTCTGTCGAGCAGGATTCCTGCTGATTCTTTCTCTTCACTGCCAAAAGCAAACACAGACAATGCACAAAGACAGGTAGATGAGCTCTTGCAAAGGGTGGCAATGCTCGCCCTTCCATCCTCTTTAGTTTTTGCTCCATGGTGTGTTTCGGAAATCAGGACAAAGTAAGGAGCTGTTATTGTACCTTACATATCCTGGTCCCTGAAAAGGAGAAAGAATTTATCTCCCACTCTATTTGATGAAAAGGCAGAATTAGTCTGGAAATTTCTTCTATATTCAACTACATAGACTTTCTGGACCACATTTCTAGGCACATTTGTACTTCATTCCTCTGTGCTAAAGTAATGACCATTTTCTTTTATTACCACCTCTTGGCTGCTCTGAAAGGGACACGCACGGGGTGTTCCCACAAAGGCCTTATCTTTATTCTCAATTATTTCTCTTAATATTGGTTTAAGAGGCCTCTACATACCCAAAATCAGCTCAGAACTGTATTTTCATTTCCACACAGCAACACCTTGTACCAACAAAGCTTTCCTCACCCCCTCACTGGTTCATGTTTTCTCCATAGGAAGCAGGAGAAAGCAGCTTGAAATCGCATTTCTTAAATAACACCCACGGAAAATGGACTAACTGGCTGTGATCTACATCAAAATTACTGCCATTCGTAATTAATGCAAGTTAATTACGTAGAACCCTCCTTGCAGTAGCCACTAGAAGGCTGTGGCATAAATACCCCTCGTAGCTCTCACAGGTACGTCAAACAGCCTGCATGACGCGTTGCTTTAGATGTTCTCAGATCCATCTACACTCCTACCACCTACACTCTGGTTCAGCCAACCTCTGGTTGAAACCCTTGGTTTTTACCTTGGGTTCCAGGTGGTGGTGGGGGTTGCTCCTGCTTTGCTCTCAAGCCTCGACAGTGGAGCCAAAGGATCACGGTGAGCACGATGACAAAAAGCCCCACGAGGAGAACGGGGACGACGATCACTTCAGGTTGGTATTCACGCACAACTGCCAGCAGGGAAAGGGAATGGAAGGCCAAGGAATTAGTGGCAACAATCCACCTCAGTAACTTTCAACCCCAGGAGCTGCTCTGTGGGATAGCAGCTGGGCACTGTTAGTGCTGCCACCCTATTTTTTTAAAACTGCACGGAATCCCTTATTTAGATGCCTTAATGGACTTGCAGCCATCTGTAAGCACCATCCACCACTTGAAACAGAACCAGCACTGGCAGAGGGATAGCAAGGAGTGGGAAGGGCTGGACATCGCTGTGCCATCACAAATACACGTGCAACTACTGCTCTAGCTCCTTCTGTTAAAATTATTCAGAGAAAGAAAGGGTGTGGGCACCTGCTTTGGGGTCTGACTGGAAGACATTGCAGTTAACAAGGCTTGTGAAGGGAGCTATCTTTCTTCTGATGTCCCCAGATTTTGAGGTGATGCTGTTTTTGCACAGGCCAAGACCATATTTCCCTTCCCAAAGATGCCAGAAAGTCATGAAATCAGAATCTCCCCAAACTGGCCCTTTGGGAAGCTACAGGGAACCTTTAATGACTACTGCGTGTCTCACTCAAAGTAGAAATTCTCTAAAACGGCTAAAATTATGTGAGTTGAATCCTGCCACAAAGGCTGCATCCCCATAAAAGCTTCTCCCCTGAGACACAATGAAAGCTCAATCCCAACTTTCTGTGTGGGCTGGGATGCAGGTGGAGGAGGGGGAAAGGGCTTGGTCCACTTTTTAGCGAAGCTGGACTTCCTGCTCGGCATGTGAAAGCTTTACTATTATAAAGCTTAATAAGCTCTATTTATCAAACTATTAATAAGCTTTATTATGGTGAAGGAACCTGGGAATCTTACCACACAGCTTGTCATTGCTGCTGCATTCCAGGAGCACTCGTGTGAACCTCTTCACATCCCCTGCCATGTTCAGCTACAAGCAAATAAATCCCCAACCTCTGCCTCCTGCACAGAGACAAGGAACAGCAACAGAATTTATTAGGGGAAAGGATGATTATCAAGCAACAAGTGAACTGGATACACTAATTTTAATAACCTTTACTGAGCACTGAAGTGGTGACAGGAACAGTCCCTGTGGTGCTGCACTGACCACCAGAGGACCTGGACTACTATTTCTAAATTGCAAAAATCAGTGTAGGGAGTAGTTTGATGACTGACAGGAAGGCAAGGCATGCAAATGTAGTCACTGCTTCTTATAAACACTGCCAAAAGTTTAAGACTTAAAACAGCTTCACACAGAGCATCCTCTAGAACATTTCACAGGCATTGTGACTTATGCTGCAAGTAATGATTTTGGCCTATGAGTTTGAGGCAATTAACCTCAATGGTAAATGTTAATAATAATATGTTGGTTTGATGGAATTCGGTGATGGAACATTAGGCAGAGCTTGTTCTCATGCTTAAGATTAACAAGTGAAATTATGCTGTATCAGTTGCACAACAGAGGCATTGGATAGAGGAAAATGGAATATATCTGTGCTTTCAGATAGCACAAAAAGTCTGTTTCCTTTTTTTTTATTTAATTGGATTGGATTGATGTGCCAGCACATTCACCTGGTCTCAACCTATAACATAGACACACACACAGAAATTCTTTCACTCTCACATGCACAGAGATAAGAAAGACCCATCTGAACAGACACAGAGAAATAGACTTTAGGACCATTAGCCAGCAATCGTGTGGTATAATCTGAGTCATAAACAGTCCAAGCTCCAAGTTTGATTAGAGAAACCCATTTCCACAACTCCATGTGTCCCATCTTCTTGCAGAGCTCAGGAAGCAGGAAAAGAATTTGTACTCAACAAGATAATTCTGAGGTGCCTTTCAGTGCTACTTTTCAGGTTGAGACTAAATGAATTCTCACACCTAGGGTTTTTTTTTCTGCAACTTACTTGTCTAACAGTAAAATTACTGCAGTTCTTACATTCCTATCCTCACAGCAACAAGAATTGTAACTCAGAAATCCATTGTAGCTCAGGAAATGCACAGAACTCCCATTATACATTTAATACTTTTTGCAGTAGGGGACACATGAAAGTTATGTGGAACTAACACATAGCAGGAAACACACTGACAGTGCTCAGTTACTTATTTTATTATATGAAGACAGTTTGCCAGCACCAAGCCAGGATAAAGGGGGCAAAAACACCTCAAAAAGGTTCAAATTCAGACTTTGCATTAGAGAACTGGTGCAATTGCAAGTAAGTGCCAGTTGGTTCCACTGGGTTTTTTTAATATTCTTTTACACACACTGAATTCCACTCCCTGGAATCACAGAATCACAGAATCATTAAGGCTGGAAAAGACCTTTCAGATCAGCAAGTCCAACACTCAACCCAGCACCACCACCACGTCCTCAAGTGCCACAGCCACGTGTGGTTTTCAACATTTCCAGTTGTGGGGGCTGCTTAAACCAGCTCAGGAAGCCCAAATATTGAAGGTGAATGCTGCTGAGCTGAATGAAGTGCTCACCGAGGCCAAAAGAAGGGATTCTCTCTTCCCTCTGCTTTCTTCTCACTCCCTGTTTTGCTCCCAGCTGTGCAACTGATAACATGGTAAACTGATCCAAACCACCAAGCCCAGCAGGAAAAATTCCCTGTTTCTTTTGCCCTGGTGGTTTCCTGCCCTTTTAGTGGTGGTGAATGGCTAATTCATCTAAAGCTGCACTGTGAAACCACTCCCACACAGATCCACAGGCACTGTGTGCCAGCACAAGCCTCAGTATGATTTTTTGAGTCCCCTGTCATTCATCCCCACATGTAAACTGTCCCCTTACCACTGGCAGAAGCCTTCACCGGATCAGAAAGACGATCTGCCCTAAAATAATCTATTTTCTCTCACGTTTTACAGCCTTAAAATCCTCATCAGGCTCAATTTATGCTATTTAAAGTGCCAGGACTGAGAGTTAAGAAGCCTGAGCCACAAACACTGTGGTGAAGGCTGAGAAGAAAAAAGAAATATCGTCTTCCATGTCCATGGAACATATGGGAACAGAGAGCTGGAATGCTGCACATGCAGAAACTGCCTCCTGCTGGCTCCTGCCACGCTCAGGAAATTGAGCAGTGCATGATCACAGTAAATAAGACAGTTTTGCCACTGAACATGTCTGTCCTGTGAACTAACAGCAGTTCCCCCTATCAGTGTAAATCCCTGTGCAATGGTCAGCTACTCTGTCCAGAGAAACAGCTGGTTAATTTAATGTGACAAAAATAAAGGCCAAGACTCGCTTGGATCTTCGTTTAAAATGTGCTGTGAGCTGATATGGAAGTGATGCAGTTATTTCTCCAGACCTCCTATCCTACATGAACTGCACACCACGTTATTATAAAAGTATTCTCACACTTGTTTTCCATGCAATAATCGTGAGGACCAACTGGAATATAACTAAGGAACAGCTGAGCAGTTCCCCACTTCAGCACATTGCCTGACTGATAAAAGACAAAAATAAACCCATGAGCCACGATGCTTTCTACTTAATTTCTTGCAGTGGCAGAACCTGACTCCCCAGCTTTTCCAGTCACCGTTTATTATCTCATTTTATTGTTTTCCTCCTCTTTCACATGACCTTTGAACGTGGGCACCAGTCAAGGCTCAGGCAACTGCTCTGAACAAGCTGCAGTGTCCTCCTGGCTGGAAGGGAATTCCAGGAACCAGCACGTGTGGGCACTGAATGGGAAGGAAGAGGAAGAAGAAAAGCACCATGGAAAAGCAAACAGAGACGAAACAGGGGTTTTCTTCCCTTGCCATGTCTCCCCTTTTACTAAAAGCAGCATCCAGAACAAAAAAAAAACAAGTCTGACGCGTTTCAAGCCTGACAGCTCGACGTAAAACAGGCTGTGCATTTGTTAGAGCACACATTCTGTGGTCTCTCCTGCCTTCACAAGAGCTGAGGGACTGTTTCCAACAGCCTGGCACATCATGAGAGCTTTGCAAGGTTTCCCTGGCCCGTGGAGCCATCTCATCTCTCACTGCAAGGCACGTGGGGTTACCAAGCAGCACCTTGAACTGTGTTTGAATGGGAATGGGGAAAAAAAAAGGGGAATTCTGACCATTTAACCCAGATTATAAAACACCAGGGTCACCCCTGTCCTTGTCACCAAGGATTACAAAAATGTGGCTTGCTGTACTGGTTGTACCACTCAGCTTTAAAGGTTTAGTTGTCTAACTCACTTCTGAAAGGGCTGGGAGCTGTAACACCCTGTAAGAAAACAAAGTGTTTCCAAAATCACCTCCAGTGACACCAGGTTTTCTCTTGGTCCAAAATTAGAAGCAGAACTCCAACATCAAACCCAGGCCAGCTGCTGCTGAAGCCTACCAAGGGAGTGAAAGAAAATTAGGCTGACCACTTCTGAAGAGCTAGACCACGGAGAAAACAGCAAATAACGAGGTCCATGCTGCCACTGGAGCAGGTGGATTACTTAGGGCCAACTTGGCTCCTTTTCAGTACAGCAGAAAAGCTCAGATCATCTCACAAAACTTAATTTATTTGTGCCTCGTAAGGAATTCTAAGTACAGGAACGGTACAGAACCTGAATGGTGATTAAGACAAAAATGTTATTTCCTAATGCAGACACGACCTATTGTGATTTCTGAGAAATTAACATGCATCTTCATCACACTGCCCCTGAATTAAGACCACAGAAAGTAATTGCTCAAAGGTAATCTGCCAAATAAGTTAAAATAATAATAACATTCCAAAAAAAATACATTAACCTGAAGCCCTTAGAGTTTAGGATAGGAAAAGTCTAGAGGCCAAACTCCCAACAACACAGTTTTACCCATGACTTCCTTTTGTGAAGTCAAAATCATTCATTACTTTTGAAAATGTCTCCTTACAGACTGAACTCTGATTTTGCTGGGAGCTGCTGGTACTAAGCCTGTACCAAACCCTAACACAGACTCAATACTGATATTCTGAATAACTGTGACAAAATATAATAATAAAGGAGTTTTTCCCAAAGGACTATGCATACATGTAGCTCTTGTTGTAAAAAAAAAACCTGCTGTGTGATAAAAATATTGCATAACATCACATTGCTGCTTAATGGCTTAAGAAACGGAAGATTAATCTGCTTTCATAAATTCACGGCCGCCTGGAGCTGTGTACACAACTTCAGCGCCACAGTTTCCCAAGTTTTGGATGTTTCTGGGTGGATTTAACATGGATTTTGTTTATAATCTAATCAGTAGCTCGTGCAAACAGGTAAACACAGGAAAATGTGTAGATATCTGCCCCACTTTGGATTAGAATTCACTGCCTCACAATCAAGCAACAGTGATGGAAGTAAAATGCTAATTAGCTCTGAATTCAGCCCTAGGCATGTATTAATTAACCAAGCAGTGAACATATTTATCCACACATGCATAGCATCACCCTGCACTGTTTCAGTGAACTGAGACTAATTTTATACGAAACTTAATTACTTTGTTAATTTCTTCCTGCTTAAGAAGTGCCTGTAAGCTATTTTGTTCAAATCCACCTGCGTGCAGGGGACATACCTCTCTTATTTTTTTCCTCAAACCCCAATACCATCATGATCAGAGAAATTCATAAGTAACTTCAACACAAGGAGTAACCACATATATATACAGACATACACAAATATAGAGAGTATACAAATATACACACAGACATCTAGGCTTCATGGTACAGCTACATTCTAATTCAGGTCACATTCACGCTACTGAAAAGCCTTTTCAAAAAAAAATAAATATTCATTAACTGCTCCTCCAGAAGCGTTTTCTCTCACTCACCTGGATTGCACCACTTCTCTTGCCCCGCAGTCGTCTTTTCCTGCTGCTGGTTCCCAGTTCGTTTGAGGCCACTCCTAACGAAGCTGATGATTACCTTGGTGTGGTTGTAATTCTCATGACTAAGTTCCTCCTTCACTGATTTTTCTGCCCCGGACCCGCCCAGCTTCAGGTTTTTTTTTTTTTCTTCCCAAGGTCTTCTCAGCTGTCTCCGCGGGGATGTCCAAAGCACAGCTGACAGGCAGGGTCACACTTGCCAAACGGGTCTGCCTGCTCCTGCAGCGGCTGCAGAGACAGGCAGAGCCCTCAGGCACCGGCTTGGAGCGTAACTGGAAAGGCAGACAAACACAGGTCAAGAGGGAGAGGTTTATGACATTATTATTTGAGGTAATAAACAGAAATCAGGAGCTTCCAGTCACAGGTTCGCATTCAGGAAAAAAAAAATGGGTCTCGGGACAGAAAATCTGTACAAAAAGCTCTAAGGCTCCACGAGCTGAAATAGCATCAGGGGCACAATCTGCAAGGGAAGAAAGAGATAAAAGGCTAATAATATTAAAATATGCTACAGGAGACAGCAGGAACGCTGGTTTTTCTCACGTTCTCCCTCGCCCTTTGGTATCCCTCCCGCTCAGGCTGGCCAGGGATTCTGGCAGCATTTTCCAGCCCTGCCATCAGCTCTGCCCTGCCCTTTCCTCACACCATCCTGAGCTCCCAGACCAGACCAGACCACACAATATCCCTGAACGTGCCCTGTGACCTTTTCCTGCCACGATGCCCTCGGGGTCTGTTGTGCTGTGCTGGTGCCCTCAGCAGCCGTGGGGTGTGATCCTCACTGCACCTCAGCATTCCGGTGCTGGGGACTTCCATCTGCAAGCCCCAGCTGCTGGCCTGCCCTCCCCTGCCGCTGATGAATCCTGTGGGAGCAGTTTCAGATTCCTGAGTCCTGGTTGTATGAGTCCACACAAGATTATTTGCTTGCCTACTCCGGGCAGTTGCATTACAAGAGTAAACAACTGCTGAGGGACAAACTTCATGTCACAGCCAGCAGCAGGATGCAGGTGGCTTTGGGAAGAGGCAGAAGTTGATATGATCTCTGCCAGCTGCTTCAGCCAAACTCACCTACTCCTGTTAACACTCTGGGGCTGCATCTAATTATGGTGTTGTGGGGAAATCTGAGTTGGGGCAAAGTCAATACCTTTGGATACCAAGAGACAATAGCTAATTTATCCATCAGAGAGAGACTGCATATGAATATATTTGTGCACCAGTACATCCTAAACTTCCCTCTGGCATTATTCTTCCAGCTGGCACTCACTACCCATGTGTGCAAAATGGTGAAAGCCAGAAGTGGTTGGTTTCTTCATTGCTTGATCTGTCTACAGAAGTGGGCAAAATAGTGAAATAGTCCTGTGATGTGGACTTTCACCCCCTGAGAAACCAGGAGGTACACCGTCTAGACTGAAAATCTTGAGTTCAAGATATCTCTACAGCTGCACAGTGTAGGCTCAGACTCTGGTTTCAGCCTTCCTCTCCTTCTGATAATAACTTGCATTGACTCTCTGCAGTATTCTCTCCATGAGGGAGCAGGGGATCTATCTTATTCTCCGTTAAAAAGTGGCTATAAAGCAAAGGACAGTTCCTCATTTAAATGAGTTCTTTACTGAAATACCTTCCACAGGCATCTTCCTTGGGGACACCTGGAAAAACTTACCCAGATCCCTCTTTAAAAACACGATAAATGAAAATCTCCCATCTTCTTTCAGCTTCTACCCCTCCCCACTCTGGAAGAGAGTGTGGGAAGGCAAAGGGTTAATGTTCAGATAAACACATGCAAAGCAGCAACCGCTGCTGCTTTTAATTCCCCCCCTTCCATCTCTCTGTTGTGCTCCCAGTCTGACTGGTTGGATAAGATATTTTAATGAGTTTAAGATTATACAGTTCAGAGTTCAGGCCTCAGAATTATATAATCTTCCTCACTCATCCACAAGCCTCTCCCTCTGTCCACTGAAGTGACAGAAGTCATTTATTGTGCTGTGAAAAAACCAAACTTTTCCTGTATTGCATCCCCAAAGAACACACTGCCTGTTTAACTGCCTGAGTCCTTCTCTCTGCTTTGGCCTTAGACAATTAGGATTAAATACACCGAAAGGCAGTAGACTGGCAGCTCTATTAACACACCCATCCTCTTTATCTCCTACAGCACACCTAGAAACCACCCAAACCACACGCAGATGGGGTTCTGGGGCCAAGCAGCAATTCAGCCACAAACCATTCAGTCTTTGTCCTGTGTGAGGGACAATTAATTAAAATTAGCACAGGGGTGCTAATGCTGCAATTCAGCTCCCAGAACTAATCATGCTCCAAGTAACTGCTGCTGGACCAGGAAAAAAACAAACTTCAGGTGAAATGTCACTGTGGTGTTCACTTTAACTTCAGCAATTTAGAGACTGTGAGGTCTCTGACTTACTTTCACACTCTAATGTAAGACTTTAAACAGTGGCTTAAAGCTGACAGACTGGGACTGATCTTTTGGTCAACCTAAGCCCATAGAAGGGTAGAATTCCAGAAGATAAGGAGCTTTCTCTTTCTTTCTTTTCTTTCTTTCTTGCTTTCTTTCCTTTTCTTTCTTTCCTTTTCTCTTTCTTTCCTTCTCTTTCTTTTCTCTCTCTTTCCTCCTCTCTCTCTCCCTCTTTAATTAATCTCTTTCTTTCTCCCTTCCTTTTCCTCTTACCCCTTTATCCAAACCCCACTGCCATGTGCTTACATCGTATGTCAGGGACTCATACCAATTTCCAAGCCAGGTGTATAATTTACCAATAAAATTGAGTTTTTTTGTGGACCCTCCGACTTTTGTCGTTCCTTTTGACCACAGGCATTTACAAACCTTGGGTGCTCCCTTCCCCTTAAGGGTGGGACATCACAAGAGGTTGAAAGGCTCAATAGTTTTATGTTTCTGCAAGCCAGTTATTAATCCCTGACTGGGGTAAGAATCAGATCAAATTATCTAAAAAAAAAAAACAAAAAACAAAAAACCCAAAAAACTCCTCCCATCCTCACCCCAAGACTCTGTTCTGCGTCACGAGCTTTGCCTCTCAAGATAGCAGATCTTCTTAATTGAGAAAAATTAATTAGCCTACTTAATGTTTAGAGGGTTTTTTTTCCCTTGAAAATGGCAATTGTAGTGATTTTCAGCTCATCCCTGCAACTCTTATTTAAATTTTCCAAAGGAGCAAAGCCTAGGAAGGGGTAGGAATTATAAGAAAAGAAATAAAGAAAAAAAACCAGCTTCTCCATATAAAACTGAAATGACTGAATGATTATGCATCAATTTTCATCAGCCAGGTGAAGGCTTGGTAGTTTGCCAGCACTTCCTCTCTACTTAGAGGTTTGGCACTTCTTTCTTTTTGTTAAATATTTAAATTTTCCTTTTAAGTTGCTGCTCTTCACCACCCACATTTTCACACTGTTCACATTTTTGAGTGAGAACCCAACAGCTCCTCCTGGCAAAACCTGACCTCTAATGACCTATTAAAGACTGCGACAACATAACAAGGATTTTACTAAACTGGTTTTGAACCCCAGCAAAACTTTAGCAACAAAATGCTCATAAATTATACAGCATTCGTGTAACTTGGGGGCATAAATACTTCATTTTGTCTATTTTGAAGGTGGGTCGTCACCTTCAAACCAGCTACTCAGCTGGCAGAGAAATGAGTGGTGATTGCAAGAGATGAACAAGTTTGCTGCATGATGAGAATACTAACATACCAAATAATTTAAAAACAGGAGTGAGTTTGCTTTGGTGGATGAAAAAGGAGAACAAGAGACAGCCCAAACCGTTTAAGGTTTGGATATTGATCTGGAATGGGATGTGATTTGGGGCATGGACAGTTCAGGGAAGGTAATTCCTAGTATCAGCAAACTCTTGTCAAACTTTGAGCCTTGTTGCTCATTCTCCAGAAAATTCGTAACTTGATTTTGCCTAGTCCTGCAAACCCCCCAATTTTTTTTTTTCTTTTAGTAAAGGCAAAGATAACAGCATGGTAGAACAGTTTGGGAGGGGGCCTTCAAAGACCATCCAGCTCCAACCCCCTGCCATGGGCAGGGACACCTTCCACTAGCCCAGGTTGCTCCAAGACCTATCCAACCTGGCCTTGGACACTTCCAGGGATGGGGCAGCCACAGCTTGTCTGGGCAACCTGTGCCAGGGCCTCCCCACCCTCACTGCAAAGTATTTATTCCTTATATCCAATCTAAACCAACTCTCTTCTACTGCAAAGCTGTCTCTCCTTGTCCTGTCACTGCAGGCCCTGAAGTCTCTCTCCGTCACGCTGGCAGGGATATGATGTCACCAAAAATCCTTGGGAAGAAATGAAACCCTCCAATACTACCTTTTAAGTGCCAGCGAGCCAGGCATTACTTTATTTTGGCTGGAATCATTCCAGCCACGTGTGCCCCTTTCAAGACTTTTCACATATTTATACACTTCAGCAAACAAAGAAATTGACGTTTATTGTTTCTGAGTTACACGGCTCTCTTCATTTAATTAGTATTCTACCCTTTATTGGCTAATTTGGTCTGCATTCATTGGTCCTCTTATCATCCTTCTCGAGACAAGTCTCCACCTCGCGGGCTGTAAATGTCTTTGTTAATCCTCTCTGCATCTTCTGGTTACTCGAGCACGGACCATAAATTTAAGACTTCAGACGTCCAACCCTCAACTCCCTCAAGCTTTATTTTATTGAAGCTCATCAGAGCCAGTCCGGAGAAACTCAAAAGCTTCGGCTGTTTTAAAGATCACACCAAGAGGAGCCTGCGGAGAAGAGACCCAGCCACCCGCTACCATTAGCTAAAAATTCAGGAAAACCTTTAGGAAAGTCACGTCATTTCCAACAGGGCGCTCGCAGCTCCTCGGGGCAACCTGTTCCAGCGCCTCACCGCCCCCACCGTGAAGTATTTATTATTATCTAACCTAAACAGACCCTAAAACTGCTGCTCCCTGTCCTGCCACCGCAGCCCGTGCTCGGAAGCCTCTCTCCATCGAGCGGGCGGGGAGGTGAAGACTCCCTGAGAAAAGCAGCAGGAGAACAAGCTTGCAAACTTGGAAGGGACAAGACGCAACCTCTCGGTTACTCTCAGGAAAAAAAAAAAAAAAACCTGGAAACCACAGCCAAGTTTCGCCGCCCGGCCGAGCCGCGGGGCCATGAGGGGGGGGGGGCGGCTCCTCGAGGGGCCGTGCCGCGGCTCAGAACCGGCTGCGCCGCAAGGGGGGCTGGCGGGGCACCGAGCCGGGACACGGAGCCGGGGAGGGGACACACAGCCCGGACACGGAGTCGGGGAGGGGACACGGAGCCAGGACACGGAGCCGCGGGGCATCACACCGCCCTCCCCTTCCCCTCCGCGGGCCGCCCACCCCGCGCTCACCCTGCGCCCGTGAAACACAGAATCAAGCGCGGGAGAGCAGCACGGGACCCTGGCGGCCGGCGGGCGGGTCGTTGGTGTGCCGTGCCCGCCCTCCCCGTGCCCCCCAGCGAGGCGGAGCGGCCGCGGCCCCGCCCAGGCCCGTGAGGGGCGGGCGGTGACCGCGCTGGGGTCGGGGCGGTCCCGGCCCCGCCGGGCGGGTCAGGGCGTGCCCGGAGTGTGCGGTAAAACTGGGGAACCGTGGTTCGTAAGGTCTCTGGCCTCAAGGGCTCGGCTTGCGCCGTGGGAGTGGTGGCGCGGAGAGGCGCCCGAGGGGCCCCCCCCGCCTGTGAGGTTGGAAACGCTGTGGGGCCGCTCCAAACAAATCCTTGGCGTCCCTCCCACGTTTAGTCGCAATAAAAAAAATAAGCATAAAACAGCCCCCCAACACACACACTGAGTTTCTGACAAAAACTATACCTGCTATGTGATGTATATAGTTAGCTGCAGTAACCTTTTCCGTCTCCTCCGTCATAGCTCCATCCCATCCGCCGGTGGTTTCCAGAAAATTAAAGGCAATGCTTTTGTGTCGCGTTGTCGGCTCTAAAACTGCGTCTGTGTTTTTGCCCCGAGCGTTTTCGCATCCTGAAATTCCAATCCCTACAACTTAAAGGTCAGGAAATCACTTACACGGTGGCAGAACTGAAGCGTATTTACTTACCTGGCTGGAGCCTGCAAGTGTGAAATATTGGTTATAAATGGGGATTTTACAACTCACTGAAAATTAGGAATTGCTCCTGGCCAGAGTATCTGGGAGAGAAACTTGGAAGACAATGGGGTGACAGAGGAAGCTTTCTAACGAAGTGTTTGACACAGTGATCCTTGTCATTACTGACACCAAAAATATTTATTTGGCACAAACAACAGCAGACTGGAGTATAACTCTACTTAAATTCATTTCAAAATGGATGGAAAATCATACGCAGCACACAGGTGATGGCCAGTAACATATAAATTCAAAATGTATATGCCAGGGGTTTTTTATTATTTAGTGCAATATTACCTTCTCTCAGCTGTAAAAACAAACTCACTCGAGAGTAAAATAAAGTACAAAATTCCTGGTTTCCTTTTAGATGGCTGAAGCAAAACCTCAGGAAGAACACTGTGAAAACTCAATAAAGAAGATGGAGAAGTGGAACAGGGACTTAGAAAAACTTCTGGAGGAAATGGAAAAAATAACAGGTACAGGTCATTATTAAAAATGATACAGATTTGTTTACTAGAGTGAAGACATTGAAGGCTTATTATTTATATTTATTCTGTAAACTTCCTTGTGGTAGAAATGCAAGTGGAAACAATCTCCATCAACTAATACCCTAATGTTCTCAATTGTGAAAAAACACGTAAATAAAAGTTTCAGGTGGCCCAGAATTACGAATCAAGAGGTGATGGGTGCTTAGTTAGAACCAGAAATACCACTAAGGTATCTAATGTACAAGTACTAAAACTTTAGTATGTAAAATGAGTCTTAATTCTGAAAAACACTGGGATAGATACATAGCACCTCTCAGGTGTTAATTCCTCAGTGACCATAAAGACTCCTCTGCAAATTTAATCTTAGTCCTGTAGGAACAGAGAGGACTGCATATTTCTCCCCATGCTCTGCCACATTTCTGTCAGAAACTGTGTGCTACTGTTCATTAAACTTTTTGTAAGTACACAACTCATGAGTGCCACTGAGCAAACCACGGTCACTTCTTGGTAAAACAAAAGGGAAAGTATGGCTTAAGTGCTAGAAGTATTTGCTCACCTTTATCAGATATACTCATTATTTCAAAATCAGTTTCACTGTTCAAGTTACTCATTACTTCAAGATCAAGACTTAAACAATGAAGTTGTTATTAAAACATTTTCTCTCTCTGTTGCAGCCTCCTTGATCTTAGTCTTCCTCACCAAACAGGAGCCTCCTGGCTGTAACTGGTCCAGAGAGAGGATTCCTTACATAATATTCATGTCTTTTAAACCAGTCTGTTGAACCTTTCTATTTGATTGCCATTGTTTGGTTGTAATTTTTAGGTGAAGCGTGTGTTAGTGAAACTATTTCACCATTTACATCACTGTGTTTCCATTATGGAGCATTTTGGGACATTTATACAGAATTCCTGGCTCAGTGATGTCTGTCTGTTGGGTTTGCAGTTCGTGCAGCCTGGATGACCTACAACATCGTCACCATCCACACCAACCCAGACCTGGCCAACTCCATGAGGCGCCTGCAAGACGCCTTCCTGAGGTGCAAAGAACAGCTGGGGAAGAAGTGGCAAGAGGTGCTGAAGGAATCCGAAGGTGAAGAGGGATAACCTGAATTCACTGCTGCTGGCAGAACCTTGGGAAATGGCCCTGTTGATTTGCCAGCCGTGGAGGTTTCACAGCCTCGGTGGAAAAGGGATCGGCTTTCACCGTGCTAAGAACTTATTTGTAAACATCCAGGGAAGTGTTTAATGAGATTACACAGATATATTTATATTATTGGAAGCAAAAGGTATAACAGTGTGGTTATTTCTGCGAGGCCCATCAGTGCAGTGTTTGCACACACCATTCCCACGCCTTCTGTGCCTGCCTTCCTAGAAGTTCACACTCGCTTCATCCTCAGGATAACCGGAATTCCTGGAGACCTGAGCAAACTAGGGGTGTGTAGTGGACCATCACAGTGGTACTGCACCAGCACACAACTTTCAAGGAAAACTGAGGAATCACTTACTATTCCAAATGAAAAACAGGTGAAATTCTAGACTGGATGTAGGGTTGCCAGCTAGGTGTTCAGTTCCAGAGTTTTATTATTCAGATAGCTCAGCTGTAGTTGTTCCATTTTGTTTCACTGGATTTTTAACCATTTCTTTGAACTGGTTTTCCCAGAAAGATTGTTTTTCTCCAATCCTCTGAAGGGTAGCAGGAAATAGTTAAGTAAAATTTCTTTACCATTACAGACTGCAGTGTGTGTGGCGGGATTGCTGCAGAAACCAAACCAGGTTATAAAACATGCTTTCCTCTATATATCCCTACTGTGCAAATATAAAAAAAAAGGACAAAAAATATTACTTTTTAAGTGGATTGAGAGCACCACCTCGTGGCTTGCAGTTGTACATGAATATTTTACTTGAGATGGAAGTCAGAGCAACAAGTTTTAAGGAGGATCTTCCCTTGCACTCAAATCTGTCTCTTTTAACTAGAAAGGAAGCACCATGTAGCGAGTATCTCCACCTCCCTTGAAGAGGTAATGATTAAAATCACACCTAAATGATCTATCAAAAGTTTGCAGTCTGTATTTAAAAAAATTATCTCAGAAAGGCTCAAGAAGAGAACCCATAGTAGCTGGTTTAGCTTTTAGCATAAATTGTTTTGAAATTTCAGTGCAGCAGTTTTTCCTGAAATGGGATTTCACCCATGGATTGAGTTCTGCTGGTAACTAGAAAAATTCTCCTCGGAGAGTTAAACAGTGGCTAGAGAGGACATGTGGCATCTTCCCAGCTGTAGAAACAGGGAGAATTCCTATATTCCAGGACAAAGACAGGCATGTTGACATACTAGTTACAGCAGGTTGGTTTAGTGACTGTTTAAGCTCACATGCCAAATTTGGGATACATCCCACAGTTGCGAAACTGCTGGGATTTTACACACAGTTTTGTTGTACACACCAGCTCTACACTGCACAGAATATTTCAAAGGAAGAAGGGCAAGACTCAGAAGAAAACTGTTAACAGCACTCTCCAAATCATAGGCAAAAACATGAGCATTGTATGATGTAAGTGAAAATAACTGACTACCACCGACACAAGGAGCAGAAAGCACAGGACAGGGACCTGGAAACAAACTGGCTGTTACACAAACACTGCACAAAGCATTTTTTGACTCACCACCAAACTGCTGTTACTTAACACATTAAAACAGCACGAGTTTGACTCTAACCTGAGGTGCAGCTCAAGTTGGGTTAGGCTGACACTAATCCCTCATTTAGGGCTTTGTGGGGATCAACACATTTAACCAAATTTTTTGAGAGCAGGTGGCTTTCTGTACTGCAGACATGTACTTCATCAAATTTTCCTTAAAATTCTTGACTAATTATAAAGACCTTCATGGTCTTAGTAAAGTCACAATTTACAAATCAGAACTGATAGCAAAGCACTAAAGAATGATGATGCATTTTGACATTAGTCAGGAAATAAATGAAGCTCCAAACTCAGTGACAAACTTTATGCAGATCTTTTCTATCACATCTTGAAATCTTAAGGTATTAAAGGTAATTTTTCATCTCATCAGCTGGTGGTATTAGATCATCAGGATCAATTTTCTGCTCAGTGCAGCACAGTCAAGCTCTAGGACTTCAAATCAAATCACAGCAGGATTGCTCCACTACTGCAAACAGCGCAAAAGAGGAAGTTTGAAGTGTAAAATGATTACAACATAGAAGTGGCTCCAAGTAGGTATAAAAAGCATGTTAACTACTCTGCAAATTCAAAATCCACATAGCCAAATATCTTTTTAAGAAACCAAACACAAACTAAGCACTCATCTGAAATTCTGCTCATAAGTCTTGCTTAAGGTACAAAGGCACCAGAGTTGCCAAGAGAACCAAACCTCATTATTGAGCACCAGCTTCATTTTTTTTTTCCTGCCAAATTCAAGTAACAAGAGCTCAAGTGGCCCAGTAAAGGAACACAATTTATGCCCAGCCCAAGACATCTAAACTGTAATTTTAATAAGTGCTTGAGTTAAGCCTGTATTTTCATAAGCAGGAATTCGGGGATGAGGTGGGTTATGTCAGTCACTTGCTCCTGTTTTATGCAAAGATTCTTCTTATTACAGAGGCAGGACAGAGATGACAAATAGAACTAGATTCCAGGACACTGCTTGCCTTTTCCCTAATTTCTCTTTTCATCAAATAACAATTACTAGTTAGGTACTTTTGTTAAACTAATTCCATCTGACCTACATTTTTGCAGACATGAAGAAAACTCCCTTTGGCCTGTCAAATCGCACTTCAAGAAAAAAAAAAAAAACACCTACTTTTGAACAACTGAAGGCAGTTCAAGTAGTTTTATGACAAATTCTTCAGCAGTAGCTCAGCACTTACGGAATATCTTGCACCTCTTTGTTATGATGAAGTTTCCAACCTCTCCCCAATCTGCCTGAAATAAGATTTAGTTCTGAACAAAACCCTTTAACAGGATGCAAGAACAGGGAAACGAGAAGGGACAAGGACAAAGAGCCAGCCATTTCTCCACTCTGATTTCGCCTTGCACGTGCACAGTTACAGCCTCGCTCAGACCAAGGGGTTTACACCAAGTGTGGTTCAATAAAGGCTGGACAAAGATTGCAAAGCTAAGAACAGAAAGGGCTGTTCTAGGGAAACAAATACATTATCTAAGGTTTGGGCAACAGCAGCTGCAAGGCAGGAACGTGAGGAGTGTTGGAGTGGGGAGTGAAGGACATGAGATATGTGAAGAAATTCTGCAGCTGGAAGTGGACTGATAACACTTGCAATGCAGCAGAGTTTTAGGGAGGAACATCAGAAAAGCACAGGCATTATTAGTAAGACAGCAAAGTACTTATTAACACGAGATGACACAGGCACAGAGATTTTACTGGTTTCAAGTAAAGAAGAGGAGAGAGGCCATTAAATCCCACTGCTGTCATTCAGGGTAGAAGCCTGGATGAAGTGGCAGTTACTGGATGTGTGTCTGTCCCCAGCAGAGGAGTCTCAAACCTTAGATCCTACTGTTTACACAATACAACACCCGGCAAAACAGATGAGGAAAAATACCCTGGGAACTCGCCTCACATCCCCCAAACTCCTGCCACAAGATGGTGACAGGAAAATCCAAGCTTTAATGTCATGAGAGCCAGAAGAGCAGAGGGGACAGTGCAGGCTATAGCCCTCATGGTGTAATCTCTTTGCAGAAGAAGCTGTTTTGGATTGAAGTGTATCCACCTACCCATGCTCATGTATCACCCAGCATGGTTTTAGACACATACCAAGAGGCAGCTCCCTTTCGCATGGAAAAGGCTGAAGCAACAAAATAATGAATTATTTTAAAAGTAAAATTAAAACCCATACTCAAACAGGTTCTTTGAGTAATTGAAATCACTTTTATTTGTGAGGAACGTCACCCAATGCTGCAGTTTCAAATAGATCTTAACAAGGAAAGCGGAAGTTTCTCCTCCCCACGTCCTGCAGTGACCAGGACTGGCACAGAAAAAAACAACTCATCACACTTGGGAGGTTTAGCACCAGCATCCAATAAAAAAAAAAAAGCATTTTTTGTTTCAATTTTTAGTTCTTTGGTTGCTTTTTTTTCCCTTTTTAGTTTGATACCAAAAGAAAAAATTGAAAAATTGAAAAATTCCTTACTAGCAAAACAGTGAAATTCTAGGAAAAAAAAATAAAAACCAAAAAACAAAAGCTCCACAGTTGCTGTTGAAAACTAGGGAGGTTGTTCTTTCTGAACCTCGCTCTCTTTTTTCTCTCATGCATCTCTCTCGTAGGCGTTCCCTGGATCTCAGCTGCTGGTAAATGTTTGTTTTCTTTTGCATTTCCGTAGGTCAAATCTTTGCTCTCGTCATCACTGTTGACAATTTATTGCTTGTGAGTTTCTTTGGTGTTACTTTTGAGCTGTATTTTAGGACACCTGTTGAAGAGCCACATTAAAAAACTAAATAAAAATGCAGTTTAAAGTTTCATTTTATCATTGAATAGGCAAGATGTCAGGTGAAAAGAGGGTTACAGCACACAGGATAAGGACAACTGGCCTATCCTGTCCATAATCAAGATCCCCTAAAATGAAATATTATTAATCAGCAGCAGATGCTGTAACTATATAGACCAGATAGAGCTCCCTGAAAAAAATCAATTATAAATAAATAAATCTTACTTTGTGACAGACACAGAGAAGAGAGGAAGAAAAGCAGCAAACTGCTCTTGGTTTGGCTACAGAGCACTCTCAGAACTTATCACAAATATCATAATATGCCCCATACAGGAGGGCACGTGGCCAGGGGCCAAGTCCTGGAAGTACACACAACTCTGCTTCAGCTGGGAAACAGCAATTATCCACATTCCTTACCTGAGGGGTGGTGAAGGTGCCTGGGGAGCCGGGCATTACTCAGCACCACTCTGCTCTGTCACTGGAGCAGGAGTTTCAGCAGGTGTTTCAGCTACCTTTGTCTGAGACACAATAAACCCTGATTAGAGGCAAAGACTGACCCCCAGACCCTGCCTCTGTTCAGTGGTACAGCCAGCATTGCTCAGTTTTTAAAGTAATCAAGAAAAATTAATCCCCAGAAAATATTAGTGTATTCCTTGTCACTTTTGTAATTTTTATTTTTGTGATCTTGTAACCTTTAGTGTATTTCTTTGTATTTCTACCTAAAGCAGACACAGAATGAGAAAATCTCTCCTCGTTAAGGTAAAATCTGTGTTTGCAAACAGCTTCCTGAAATGATCCGGTCCCAGCAGTTCAGGAAGTGGATCCAAAGCTTTCAAATCCATCTCTTATACTACAGACAGACTGAGGGTTTGAGGAAGCTGGAAAACACAACTGATTTCTCTACACTTCAAAAACAGTTGTTACAGCCTGACCCTACAGTGTGACCCCAATTAAGAACTCTCCAGAAGCAATCCCTATCCCACTGCCAGTTCCATTTAAGAGAAGCTGCTCATTCTCCAAGAGGGTCAGAAGCAGGCAGGGAAATCAGCACTTCAGAGCTGGTCACCGCTCACCCACAGCACACCGACAAAACACTTATTAAAAACTCATATAGGACAGAAGCTCTTGAGCATTGACCCCATCACAACCTCAGTCTCTGCCACGTGGAATCATAAAATCACAGAATGGGTTGGGTTGGAAGGGCACCTTGAAGATCATCTCATTCCAGTCCATAGCAGGGACACCTTCCACTATCCCAGGTTGCTCCAAGCCCCATCCAACCTGGCCTCAGACACTTCCAGGGATGGGCAACCTGTGCCAGGGCCTCACCACCCTCACTCACAGGGAAGAATTTTTTCCTAATATCCAACCTAAACCTACACCCTGGCAGTTTGAACCCATTCTCCCACATCCTGTCACTCCAGGCCCTTGGAAATAGTCTCACCCCATCTTTCCTCCAAGTTCCCTTCAGGTGGCACAATCAGCTCACTCCAGAGCCTCCTCTTCTCCAGGCTGCCCAACCCTGATTCTCCCAGCCTCTCCTCCCAGCAGGGGTGTCCCATCCCCCTGAGAGCCCGCTGGCCTCACCTCTTTGCCCTCCTGAGGGGGGGCGCTGGCGGGACGGGGCCGGCGCCGGTAGTTGTAGGGCCGGCGGTAGCCGCGGCGAAGAGGCTGCTGGCCCATGGCGTTGGCCTCGTGGTGGTTCTCCTTGTTCTCGGCCTCCCCGCTGGCTGGGGCAGGGCGTGGGCGAGGGGGCCCTCTGAGGAGTGGGGGAAAAGGCCAGTAGGCATGAAAGAAGCCCAAGAAGGTTAAACTACAGTAATTTTAGCCCAGCAAAGCCTTCCATAACCAAGTTCCACCCTTAAATGATCTCCAGTGTGAGCAAACCATCCCTCTGGAGCTTGTCTGGCAAAAAGAGCCTAAGAGGAAAGACAAGCAAGGTGGGTGTCTCTTCACTGCTCCATTTATATCAGCATATCCTACAACAAAGATGTCATTATCCCATTTGGATTGCTGGCTTCTTGGAGAAGAAACAAGCCAGCAGTGGCCACAGAGGCCAATTCTGCCATGTTAGCCTTGGTGTGGCTGTATTCCAGCCCAGGCCTAACAATTAATGGTAGAACCCTTGGGAACCTCACTTCCACCTGTAAGCCACTCCTGGGTCTTTGCCTGCCAGCCTCCCATTGGACTTCCTGAGCCAGACGCAGTTTGCCTTTCCAGAAACATCACAGTGGTGTTTTCTTTAGTTGTTTCACCAGTCTCCCCCAAGCTGATGGAAGCTTTTAACATCATCAACACCCTGTGGCATGAAAAAGCTCCAGCAGTCTGCTGCTTGCCCAACACCCTGAGTCAGCAACCTGAGCATGAGTCAGCAGAGCACCAGTGCAGCAAAGGCAAAATGGGCCCTGGGCTGCATCCACAGGGAGATCTGAACAAACCACATGGAATCTTGAGGTCCCTTCTAACCTTGGCTGTCCTACAGTTCAGTGAACTTCACTTTGTTTCTCAGCATGTCTCCCACTTCCTTCACTTGAAGGCTCCTCATAGCATATTCTTTTACCAGAAGAACAAACAAGAGCAATTGTGCCATCCTTTCCATGATGCTCATTATTCTAAGGACCTCTGCAATGCACCTTCATTTGTCTCTTCTCCCAGCCTCTGAGTCCTCAGTCACTTCACTCTTCGCACATTTGTTCCCCTTCAATCAGTTTGATGAGCTTTCTTATTATTCTGGAAGGTTTCCAGGCTCTTTAGCACCCCCTTTCTCCACAGGCTCTAGAAAGGCTTAACTCCAATAATCCTGTTTTGTTACCTTCTCCTTCAGGAGTTTCTCAAGGAGTTTAACACTCACATCTTGACTGACAGCAATACCCTCCCCTAACCCAGGATATACTCCTATATTAGAGTATTACATAGACTATATAGATATACTCCTATATTACAGTACATGCTCCCATGTCAGAGGTAGGACATAGCTTTAGGTTTTACTGAATAGTGAGGTTTCCTCTGTACCTACAAGTAGCACCAGGGCATAAAACCAAGCTTGTGTGACACACAGGACTGAGTTCCATGTGTATTAACTGTCTGCAGTCCACAAGAAATGCACATTTAACAAGTTCTCCAGTTGTTTCCCTTATTCCTGGGGCTCACTTTTCTCCCAGGAATTGAAGTGCTTCTCGCTGTGCCTACCACTCGCACACGTGTCCCTGCACTTAGAAGGCTGGGTAGGACACAGAAGCACCTGAATCCTGAGCAAAGGAAACGGCACCAACCTGCGGTAGCGGGGCCGGTAGGTGGTAGGATTCCTGTGCACTTGCTGAAGTTGTCCTCCTTCTGTGACCCCGTCCTTGATTTCTCCCTCAGCACCCTGCTACCAAAAGAGAAGAGACAGGGAAAGATGAAGTGTTACCTTATTTGACAGGCAATGCATTAACCACAGAGCCATCTGGATGCCAGTCCAAACCCAGTATATCAGTAGAGAAACACCAGCACTGGTAAAAAAGAAGCAGCAGGTTCTCAGAAGGATTTAATTTGGGCAAAGAGGAGGGCAAAACAAGAGCCAACTGTGCTGCCCCTGTTCTTCACAGGAACAGACTAAAAAACTACCTGATGATGCCTCTTCCCTGCCTGCCAAAAAAAGCAGAGACCTCAACAGGTCTCCCTGGTGCACATTCAAGTGTGTTTCAACACATGGCACTGCACTGTAAGGGGTGGATGTGTTATGGAGAGGCAGCTACCGATGAGGGCACTTCCCAACTTGGAAAGTTAACAAAGAAACCTGCCACAGACCCCTTCTAGCTCCATTCTACACAAAGCCCCGTTCCACAGCAAACTCCCACAACGACCACCAAGAAATTTAAAGGCAGAAAATCTACTACATCCCATCAAATACTCTTCTACACACTCAAGCCTTTTCAGCCTTTCAGAGATGCAGTGGTTTATCTCTCCCTTTTAGTTGTTAAAGCTGATAGTGATAAAGCTGTATGTCAGTTGGGTGGGTTTGTGTTTTAAATGCCAGCCATTAGCAATGTCTTGTTCTTTAAAGTGTTACTTGATTTAGAGTTCTCAGTGTGCTACTCTTCCCTTTAAAAGGATGAGTTTAACAAGACATCCAGAAACATAAGTGCATCTTCTGCACCTGATCCAGGAGGAAGCAAAAGCCTCCTGACAGCCTTTAGTAGTCCATTTGACAGGTTTCCTTTCAATTCTACACCACCATCATATTTTGCTCTATTTTAACCCTGCACAGGCAGGGAACTTTGCTTTAGATAAAATAACATGATGATAAGCATTTAAAAAGCTTGGAGTGCTGTAGGTCATAACAAGAAAGTTTGGGGAATTAAATGAACATCAGTGATCAACCCTGACAATCTTACATAAAATACCCTCCAAATGCAGTAATAATTTCAAGTGCACTTTGTAGCTTTCCATGTTCTCATAAAGCAGAGACTTAAGTCTAGAGGCAGGTGGAATATTTCATTTGCTGAGCCTAAAAATAGCTAGACCACCTATTCCCAATAATTTGACAGGGTCACCTGCTGAGATCAGTATACAAAACCTGACTTAAATTTAAAAAGCATCAGCCAGTCTAACTGTAGGGAGGAGCACTCAACATTTTTCATTAGCTAAAGCTCTCCCGCAGCCCTTGACAATCAGCATCACATTCACAGCTCTTTAAAAGGCACTACTGGATTTTTTTTTCCTATGTTTTTAATGGCACAGCCCAAATCCACTCCTCCCTGCAGAGGGCTGGGCTGGAACCTCAGTTACAAGACTCCATCTCCCGTAGCGATGGAAAGAATGGCTAGACCTGATGAAGCATCACTCAAAACACTGCAAACATTTTCCTCTTCATCTTGAACTGAATATTGTTATATCAATATTTTAAATGATTTTGGCTTAAACAATCAGCTGGAAACAGAATAGCAAAGCAACTGGATTGCTTAGCCCAGAAGTCCTGATAATTTCCTGCACTTCTACAGCAGCACAAAAATTCAACTAACACATTGCATTAGTATCAGTGTCAATTGATCAGAAGTGAAGTATGGCTCCAGAATAAAACAATTATGCTGTCACAACTCACTGAAACAGGTGTAATTCAACCAGAAAGAACCAGAGCTTTGAGGTCTTGTTTTACTACACGATAGTAAGTATGGGATTAATTTATTAGGAAAGTTTCTTAAAAGCATCACCCCATGTCTAGCACAGGTGAAACTCAATCTCCTCCAAAGAAACCTTCCAACTCAGCCTGTACATTCAAACAAAACATCAGGTCATCCTAAAGGACAGGTTAAAAATCCTGAAGATTTTTTAGCTACAGCAGGCCTGGGTACACTGAAACATTTTCCTTCAGCTGTGCAGAAAGAGTAAATACACCTTCAGCAAACACAGCTCAAGAGTGCCCAAGGGCTGGGAACACTTCCTCAAGCAGAGAGGCACAACCTCCAATGCCCTTGTTATTGGGGCTATCCTTGAATGAAACAGAACTTGCTCCTAATTTTAACACATAATATATCAAATCCAGAGGAGCAGTCCATGCACTGATGGCAAGACACGACTTTCAGAGGATGCTCAAGCCAAAGGAAGGACCAACAAACTTTATGACCACCCAGGTTAATGTCCTTCTGTAAACTGCCATTTGTAAGCTTTTAAGGCCATAATTCTTCCAGAGTCAGTGATCCCAAAGAAAGGGCAGTGTACTTTACATTATAAAACGAGACATGATTGCTAAAGACATCAGGCACAGGGCACACAACAGCTGAAGATCTGGTAGCCACACCAAATCAGCCTGGGGACTCAGATACAAGCAAGCCAGAGGAAAACAGGGTGATAATCACAAGTTGTTCCCCTTGTGTACATTTTCAAGGACTGGGATCCTAGTGTGAGCTGCAAGCCAGGCTTTTAGCTGCACGAGTTTGCATTAGATAAGAGAACTGCTACAACTACAGTCATGGCCCTCGTGCTTACTTCTTCTTCTGCAAAAACCTCCAGGGAGGATGCTTAGGAAGTCTTGCAGATGTAATGAACAGTGGTGCATAGCTGGTTTTACGGGGAAAAAACCCCAAACACCATTATCTTTACACTGAACACCTGCAGGTACAGGCCTGTGAAGGGATGATACAGGGAGGTTTCAACCAGCTGGTCAAACTACTGCAATGCCATGCAGAAGTGACAAACCTCTAAAATAAATCCCATTTTCCAAATAAACCCTCCAAGTTATGTTTAGATATGGTTATGAGTTATATGTTTGCTTCAGGTAAAGGCCATGGTGAGCCACTTAGGTGTCTCAGCCTTTAAGTGTTTACTTTTCAAACCAACACCCGAGGAGATGCTTTCAACACATCCTAGAAAAACATGACAAGGAAGGGCTACAAGAAACCAAACAAAAGAAAGTATCGGTGTCAACGATGTGTTGGAGGAACCGCGAATGTCCTGAAGAACGCTCACAGCTCAGTTAATCATTGCCAGCTCACTATATGCCAGGGCTGAAGGTGCAGATCCCTCTGGTGGAGAGCTGCTGAGCAGGTGGGTGAGCAGCACTAAAGGAACTGAACTCACACTCCGGGGTGGCCCGCGGCGTCGGCCGAAGTATCCCCGTCGGTAGCGGCGCCGGTCGGCGGCGTAGCGGCTGCCTTCCACGGGGACCCCGTCCGGACCGGTGACATTGGCTGCCTCTGCACCCTGGGAGCACAGCACAGCACAGCACACAGTCAGCCAGGGGCTGGGAGAAAGCTACACACACCCGGGGAGAGGATGAAACAGCAAACAGGCTTTTTGGTCCAAGTACCAAGCTACAGCGATTCCCTTCTCCCATGCAGTGCAAAATATGGTTATTCCCAACCCCATAACTCATGACCATAGCTCTTGGTTAAGATCCTATCAGGCCGAGTTTGGAGGAGGAAGCAACAAGTAAGTGATTAAAGACCAAAAGGAGGAAAATCTCGTAACCCTCAAAAAAATGTTCAAGAAAGTAGAAGTGTGAAGAACTTGGAAGTTCTTACAGTTATTAAGCTACCAGACTCCAAACAAACTCTTCAGGGCAATATTTGCCTCAGTTAATGATTACTGGGCAGGCTGCAAGCTTTGAATGCTCTATCAGGTAAAAACTATAGGTTCTAGAAGCACTGGGATGTAGTTGAAGTAGAGTTTTGACACATATCTAGAAACACACCTTCATCAGCCTTTAAAAATTAGCTCTCCCATAGAAAAGCTGTTGGAATGCCACCTACCCAGGGACTAACACATTAGACAAAACCCCAGAGACACAGGCAAGGTTCTGTGTCACTCCCCACTCTGTTGGGCCACCCTCCATAATCTCCCACCTTTTCTCCCTCGACCACATCAAATTCCACAGTCTCTCCATCACCAACACTGCGCAGGTACTTCCGAGGGTTGTTTTTCTTTATCGCCGTCTTTAAAGAGAGAAGATACAAAATAATTAATTTGTGTGTGTTACTTCCCTTACATAACCCCATAGATGAGGGAAGGGCAGCATTTTTCTGCTAAAGTCCCAACTCTACACACCAGATCAATCACCACACCAAGACAGTTCAAACACACAGATGTTCCTCATTTCACAGTCCCACCAATACTCAGTCAAGGTTTACTCTTTTCTCACTATTTATGAGTTTATAAATCAGGATCCACTCTGTCCAGTGAGCTAAACATCCAAATCATTACAGTCCATACTGAGTGTTTCACCTCCTGCAAGCTACACCAAGGCAGCTCTAGCAGCAAGTGTGACCTGTGCCTTCTGTTATTAGGACACCTGTAGACCACCTACAGAGAAGAACCTCCAAAATAATAACACTATTATCACTAATAACACTATCATTACAGTTATATTAAAATGCTGTAATACTACTAACAAGATGGGTTTGCATCAAAACCTCCTCAGGCTCACAGGAACACTCAAACCTCCTGGTGTGATTTTCAAGTCTGTCAACTACAGATGCCTTTTTTTACTCTGTGGAGTATTTCCTGGATTCCTCTAAAGTTGGTTGGATTCCACAAAAGTAGGCAAGACAAGTCTACTTACCTGCATCAGGTAAGGCTTCACCAGCTGGGAGAGGCCAGGGGAGAAGAGACATGCATTGTACCAGCCAATTTAGTAGCCACTTCTAAACTGAAGTTGTGTTGGATTATTAAAGCCCTTCACTTAAAGTTTCCTGATCTGTGCATCTTTTGTCAGCAGGAAGAAGGCAGGTGCAGAACCAGTAAACAGAAACACACATGGAAATACAGGGCATAAATCCAGCTTAAGAAATGGGATGTAGGGCAGGAAGAGAAGAGAGTTGGCAGATCTGCAGTTCAAGGAAGACAGGCAGAATGAAGCTCAGAGGAGTTGCTGCCTGTGCATGGCAGAATATTCCTTCAGTCAACAACTGCCCAAAAATATTTCTCACTGAAGGAAAAATCCAATCAGCTTAAAGTTGATCTTGACTAGTTTAGGGAATGAATACAATCTCCTCTGTGTTTCAGGCAACAGGCCAGCTTGTCCTTCTAGCCACACCTGTCCCTACACCCTGCAGCATCCCTGCAGAGCTTCAGGAAGAATGTAAGAGTGTACATATCGTTACTACCAAAGCAAAAACAACCCAAGAGGATGTTTGGGGGGGGGGGTTACACACAGAAACAGAGCGAGCTGCTCAAGTGAATTCTCTGGGGAATTACTTTAGCAAGCAGGGACTCCCACCATTAGCTCAGACAACTTTGTTTGCTTTCTGCTGACCTTTTAGTGTAACTGCCCCATTTCTGAAAATCACACAGAGGTGTTTGCTTTTCCATAAATGTTATATTGAACAACCTGCTAACAGGAGACTGAGGCTGCTACACACTAAGCTGGGGCTTATTTTATAAAGGCAATCAGGACAATTTTGAGTAAATCCTAGAATTCCAAGCAGGAACTACGCAGCTTTACTACTTAGAACTTCGGCTGCAGGTAAACACTACTGAAATAAGCCTCCAACAAGCCTAAGCTCTAAACTTGATGGAAGGACTTTTACTCTGTGTATCCAGAGGGGAGAAAGCACCATTCTCCCTGTTACTGTTTACCAGCACCCTGCAGGCTCCAGCTCCTCTGATTCAGAGGACAGATGTTTTATATTAACACAGACAGCACTCAGCAACAAAGTCTTTCCTTTCCAAAGGGGACACTGATGAACAGGCAGCTACAAGAGTCTTCACAGCCAGTTCAGGGGTTTGTTTGAGAGTTCTTCCCATATGCTCACACCAGCACATCCCATGCGCATCCAGCACTGTCACAGTAACAGCCAAAGTTTGTCACCACAGGTACACCAGGCTGTGCATGATCAACTCAATCCAGTGAAGTGAAGAGAAAGAAAGAGCCTTACAACAGAAGAGATTAACTCCTCCTCACTGCTTGTTGATGCAAACTATATCTAGTTGAACTGGACTTCTCTGGCTACTGACACTTGGAATGGTGTTAACATTGCAAGGCACACTCCACCCGGCCAGGACTGATCCCTGCTGCTCACACCACCTGTAGCTGGCTGACACAGGGCCCCAGACAGCACCTGGCACGAACCAAGTGAGACTGAGCAGGTGAAGAACTGCCCTTCCCAAAAAAAAAACCCACTGCTTGGGTCCCCAGCAAGACAAAGAGTTAACTCAAAGCAAGCCATGCATGCCCTAAAAAGAAAAGCATTTTAATCTGTACTAGGTTTATAAATAGCATCCAATAGGCAGCCACCAAGCATTAACCCCCATTCCAATCATGAGATCGGCCTGTTCCCTCCCCACGCGGATGCAGGCAGGGAGGAGGCTGGATCCATTCAACTAGGTCAGCCTTATTCTGAAGGGATTAGGATGTAATCCAGCCCCTCCCGGCCGGCGCGGGGAGGAGGGGCAGAGCCGGAGCAGGATGTTTGCTCACAGCAGGGATTTGCCTCCCTCGCCGAGCGGCCCCAGCAGCAGCAGGGCCCGGGACAAGCTCTGCTGAGGAACATCCCGCTGCAGAAACATCCACTCTGCCGTGCTCAGCCCACCCCGAGAGGGTTGGTCGGGTGCAGGCCTGCACACGATGTGGTATTTCTGAACCAAAGCCAGTTTTGCTCTGTGTTCACTCCCAGAGGACTCAGCCCCAGGAGGTGGGAAGCGCCCGCCTCCATCCCCTCTCCACACACACCCACCAGGTTGCATTTAGGGGAACAGTCCCTACAGGTGAAGGAGACCAAACAGCACAGCAGACAGCAGCTTCTGTCTGGGCCTCTGCAGGCAGCTTTCCCAAGCAGAACACTGATCTGTGTCATCTCTGTTGTCGGCACAACAGCCATTTTCCAGGATATCCTCTCACTCTCTCATAGAGACCTCATTTGTCTTCAAAGGCAGCTGTAGAGTGCTGCCTATCCAGAGCATGGTTCTGTTACTAGAACTCTTCCCCCCCTCTGGACACACTCCCATCAGAGTACTGATGTCTCAACATGCTCGAGGCACAGGTCCTTTAAGAAAGGAAAGTGACCATTAAAAACCAGTATATGCATTAACAGCTCTTGCTCTCAAGTCCACCAGCTGAACCAGGAATGTGCACTGTGCACACTTCCCAACACCACCTTCACTCACTGTGGGCACTAGACTTACTCCCTGCCAGCTTCTGCAGTTTCAGTCTACACCCTGTGACCCAGAGAAACAGTTATCACAGGCTATTTAGTCATGAAGCCACGGGAACTAAACCAACTCTCAGGGTTGACTCAACTAACTATATATGCACATATCCTCATACTCTGTGAGCAGCCCTGAGCACAAGTGTCCTGGTTACATTTGATGGAAATACTGTCACCTATGCCACGGAGAAAGTTCATGCTCTTAAGGATCACATGAGCCTGCAGACATTTTATGTGGGACCAGCTCCAGGGGCACTATTTTATTTTCTGGTGAATGATGCAAATGATGCACAACCAGATCTAAGGCAATAATCAGTTTACACCAGCATGGAGACAGCATCCTCTGTCTTGCCATCATTTGCCTGCAACCTGAGAGTCCCGGGATAAACTTAGAACAGCTCAAGGAAAGTGAACCAATGACAAGCCTCTGGGCCACCTCTCTCTGCCTGGGCACACTTGGCACCCAGCCTTCCTCCTCTTCTTCCTGGGAGCAGCTGCCTCGTGCAGAACAGCTGATGGCAACACTGGCTGGTCAACAGCCAGACTAGATCACTTTCTCCCCAATACCAGGGAGGGCAGACAGAACAAACCTGCAGATGAGGAGGGTAGGGAGGAACAAAAGACAGAAGGAGAACGAGGAAATGGGGGGAAGGAGAGACAACACGCAGCAAGGTGTTTACAAACAGAGGAGGAGACAACCAACCAAAACACAAAGCACACCAGAAAACCCTCCAAGCACCTCAAAATTGGAGCAGAAAAACAGAAAGTATGAAGGGTTATAATAACTCTACAGTTACACTCCAGAGAGAAGGAAAGGAAAACATAACCTAATATTTCTCCATGAAAATTCAAACATGCACATTCATTGAAGGAATCTGCAGTAAATACTCTAAAGAGAAGCTAGGACAAGGTTGGGTGGTTGTGGCAGGAGTTGCCTTAGAAACCTACCGCAGTACACATCTCTAAGCACAATTACTGCTGTCTTACCTGATGAACAAACACATCTTCTTTGGTATCATTTCTGTGAAAAGAAAACAAGAAGTCCTAAGAGTTTAGGCTATGAGACTTAAATAGAAATTCCTGGCTTTACAAATGAAACCCTCCTTCTCTCATGCCCTGAATTCCATACATTCTGTCTTAAGTCTATGCTACCAAAACCCTGCTCTGAACTAGTAGGGTCATATGCTCGAGAGCAGAAAGGACTCCCCAGCCTTCAAAAGCATGAGAGGACAGGGGGAGGTTCTCTGCAATCTTCCAGCAAACATTCAGTGTTTTGGTTTTGCACAGGGCACAGTTAATGACCAGACTGCTTGTTTTTCACTATTCTGATTCCCCAGAAACACTTGCACGGGGACTGCAACCTGAGCTGTTACCCTAGAGGTCAAACAAGACTATCAGCAGGACTGGCCACAGCTGTTAACAGAGATCTCCTTTCAGTGAAACTCAAAGCAACCGTGCACAAGAGGTGTTAGGAGAGTCCACGGGAGCAGGACCCAGACACAGATTAAGCCAGACAGTTCAGGCCTCCACGTGCAAAACATGAAGATAAGTCTGAGACCTTGATTCTGTACTCCCATACAACGAGGGAGAGCCTAAACCCTGCCATCTGTTCATTCCCTCTCTGCAAACACAACGGGCAGGTCAAAGAGTTTGGGAAGATAACGCGTAACCCCAAACTTGTGCTGGATTGAAGCGATTCCAGGCTTCACTTCAGGAAGGCAGCTAACAAGTTATCACACCATAACCAGCTGAAGGCTCTGCACTCAACTGCTAGAAAAGATTTTAAGAGTCTTTTAAGGTCTTCTCCCCCTTGCTGCACTTCCCCAAATCTACCTGAAGTTAAACAGCTCAAGGATTTGCAGAACGAAATAACTTGCCAGGTATGTCTTTTCAAGAGCTCAGCGTGCAGGGGTTTCATTCTTCATAAAGCACACGAGACATTTAAGCCCCTCAAGCCCACAGATATTCCAGCCTTAAAAGCCAGGACCTTTGGAAGCAAGGTTCCTGGGCACCTAGGGTTGCAGGGTGATCAGTATTAGCTACAATTATGTGGATTATCAATGCCATCCAGAGCTTTGCTCGTGTTCAGCGGAGAAGGAAAAAAAAAAAGAGACAAAGAGAATTCCTGTGAAAGCCAGGCCTGGAATATCTTCAGTGAGGTGCTATCAGAGCATCTCAGTGTGTATCCACAGGAGGTATATTGATCAGTTAACACTTAAACTTTACCCAGAAGTATTTCCCTTCATCCTCCTGTTTAGAAAACAGCCAGGCAGTCAGGACAGATTATGCAGCTCATTAAGGGTGTAGTATGAGCAAACATGAGAAACAGGTAACACACCAAATCTGTAATGAGTTTGACCCTTTCTGTTTTCTTCCTTTGACTGGGGGTGGGTTTTTAAGAAAAAAGGTTTAAGTGCCTGGCCAAAGCTAAACATCAATTGCACGAAGCTGGGACTCAGGTCCCCAGGTCCCTGCTGCAATTACTAATGCATGGCATCTTATCTGCACCACGAGTCTATCACACTTTAAACATACCTGTTGATAAAGCCATATCCATTTCTGACATTGAACCACTTGACTGTGCCAAGAACTTTGGTGGCTGGAAAGAAAAAGTTAAAGAATTTAATCTAAAGCATAAGAAAGTACAACAATGTTACAAAAACACTTTTATACTTGCATAGGAACTCACCACCAGACCTATTCTGTTCTCTTAACAAAGTGTACCTTCCTCTCCCAGCTCAGTTTATACTAATGCAGTAGCAAGATACAGTGGTTTAACAGGCTGTTCTTCAGCCCAGAGTTTAACACAAAGCACAAAGCTCTATTTCCAGAACTGGCCACCCATCCCTTCTCTTTTTGTATTTCTTATCCCAGACACGGGCAGCAAGGTTGACAATCCCACTGCCACTTATCAGTTCTCTTTAGCTCAGTAGCCAGACATGAAACACAGCAGGAGAAAGCTGTTTAAAAGTGCTTTCTTTCACTTGGAGCTACCCTTCTTTCTTTCCTGGAAACCAGAACTGGCCAAAGCAGCAGCGTCAAGTACTATGTCTCTCAAGTGGAAAGGCAGCACATCCCTGGTTTGGCCCAGCTCCTTCTTGCATTGCCAGCATCACTCTTAACCAAATAAGACACCAGAAGACTTTTTTTAATATTCCTGCTTCTAGAGATCTGTGATTCCTGCTTCTAGAGACCAGCTACAGCTAGTCACCTACAAACTGTCCAACTTGATGTTCCCTGACTTCCAGGATCAAGACAAGCTCCTGTCTCAACACTGAAACAGCATCTGCTTAGAAGCCATTCTGCAGTGTCTTATAGGATCTGGCAAAACCTGTTCCTCCAACTTATAGGAATGTGTGGGAGGAACTCAGCAGTGATGGAGGCAGTTCAACCCCTCCTTCCCTCTCAGCAACTGGGTGGACACCACAAACTTGTACTTTTCAGACCTCCGCTGAAAGGAGAGGTTTGGCCTCTACAGTTTAAGAGCTGTTAGTTGTTAACACAGCTTGAGCACAAATATCTAAGCAATCTACGTAGCACTTATTTGGAAAGGATCTTGTCATCTACAGATGACTGCTTGCTAAAAACCTTATACCTACGATTTGGGGGTGGCAGGAACTTGAGAGACAATTAAAGGGAAAATAGTCCAGAGAATCTCCAGTTCAGAAGTCCAAGCCACTCTGCTGGAGGCAAGAACTCACTGTAAATTGTCACCTTCATCCTCTCTGCACCTGCATTCTTCCCTAAACGCCCAGACCAGATGACAGAGCCAGCCAGACTTTTAGTCCCACAAAGTCTGGCCATTCTCATACACCCTTCTGAACACAGACCTCAAATGAGAATGTTTGCCACCAGCAGCCCGTTGCAGTACTGCTGCTGTTACTACTTCCAACAACAGGCGTCTTCTCATCCCATTTTTAGAAGTGAAGTTTTCAGTCTCCTTTAATATACTTTTTTTGCAAAAAATGTTCTTAATTAGAAGAAGCAAAGTCACGTGAAAACTGAGACATCACCCAGAAAAAAGGGCTCTGCCCAGCATAACATATATTCCCAAGAATTCTTGCTTACAGAGATAAGGAACCCCTAAGTTTCACTGCCTAACACTGACTCAGTAACAATCTTCAGCATCAGTGTTTTTAGGGACATCACTACATACAGATGCTTTCTGCTACCACAAAGGCTCTGGCTACAAGAGCTCACTGCACTAACTCAAGAGGAAAAGAGGGGAAGCACAGAAACAGGTGCCAATGGCAGGTTTTAGCTGCTTTAAGAAACAGTGCTAATACCACTGATTCCCTCAACATCATCCTTTCCCTCCCCTGCAGAACAGCTTTTGAATCGGTCGGCCTATTGCAATCAGATTAGGAAGAGGAGGAGAAGCTTAGGAAGCATGGCAAAACCCCTCCGAGGAGTCAGGGAGCTGGGGGGATGAGGGGGGGTTATAACTCCCCTCTGTGCGCTCACCGTTTCAGAGCAACTTTTGCACAAGTTGCCAGAAAGCAGGGGTGAGTACTGGGGAAATGCTATTCCCTACGGACATCAGTCTTACAGCCTTCCCTTAAGTATCACCGTGGGGCCGAAGAACCTCAGACGACAGCACGACTCCGAACATCCACGTGGCCATGGCACAGTCACTGGAAAGCCTGAGCTGTCCCAACGGGGAAGTCTCGGGCAAGGAGGAGAACAAGCCCAGAGGAAAACACAAGCAAGGAGTTAAAGTGATGAGTCAGAGAAGGGGGCTGATGTGATGTGATGACGTCTGTCCCACCAGTGAAATCCCACATATTGCTACAAGATGCCGTACTCTGAAGCTATCAGAGGAAACAATCATCAGCCACTCCCACCCGTGACAAAATAGCCTTTTAACAAGGAAAGCCAAAGCTTCCTGTGACCAGCAGAACGGAGAGAGTTGAGTAACCCTTATCCCCTATTCCTAGAAGTCAGACATTTGGACGCCCTGGGCATTTGCTTCTAAGGAGATCTTTGTAAAAGACTTAAGTGAACATAATTACACGACCATTAACAGGGACATTTGAGGTGGGCTTTAAGGCAAGGCCTTTTCAATTAGCACTATCAGTGATCATTTTCCTCACGATTCCCACTAAAAAGCTGGGTAGCAATAGGGCCATTGTGAAAAACCATCCCCATGGTGGCTTTCATTTTCCTGCTAGGCCAGGAGAAGCATTTGTGCCTTCACTTCCCCCCACCCCCTTCTTCTACAACCAATAGCAACTGGTGGACAAGACAAAAACATTACCAAAAATGAAACAAGCCGCGTTAAGGCAACAAGCAGCCATGGATGTGCTGATTATTGTGTGCTAATTACTGATAAATCAGGTAACAGGGGGAAATCACACAGACAGTGCCTCCAACCTCTGTTTCGCCAGAATTCTTCCCACCTCCACTCCAGAGAAATCCTTTACCTGGCTCCTCTCTCTGCTGCAGGAAGACCTCAGCCTTTCCCTTCAGCATAGAAGGTGCTGTCACTCTTTACTGAGGTCTGCGACTCTCAGTCAGCTTCAATTTTGCTTTTAACAGCCTCCTGGAGTTAGTTACACAGTCACAAACAACACATCCCTATTTCCACAGATCCAAGCCCTGTCCTTTTCAACAGGTTGATCTTATTTAATCACAAATTTAAAAAGAAAAAACACCACAGTTGCTGTGCACTGGGCTTGAGAGATGGCAACGCGGCATTTTTACACAGAACATGCCGAGCTGGAAGGGACCCACAGGGAGCATCGAGCCCAACCCTTAGCCCGGCAGAGGACCATCCCCAAGGGGCACACCATGTGCCCGAGGGTGTCATCCAAAGGCTTCTTTAACTCTGTCGGCCTTGCTGCTGCGACCACTCCCCTGGGGAGCCTGGTTTTTTTGGCTTCTTTACTAAGAGTAAAGTAGAAACTAGGAAAAAAGAAGGAAAAAAAAAAAAGGAAAACACACACAAAAACTAAACTAAAAAAAAAAAAATTAAAAAGGCAAACTCCCAGAAAAGCCTTAAACAAGCAAGCCCCACTAAACCTAGAAGCACTGTTTAAAACAGCGTTCCTTATGGACAGAAAAGTTGTGCCAGGACCTCAGAACTACCGAGAGGCGCACACAGCGTTCCGCAGCAGCCCCTTCCAGGCGGGGCAGCGCCGGCAGGTGCCGGGCAGGGGCTCCCCGGGGCTGTCTGTCTGTCCCTCCCTTCCTCGCTGTCCCGGCCCGGCCGCCGCCGAGCCCCGCCGCTCCGGCCCAGGAGGCACGGCCGCCTCCCCCCCCTCGCCCCACAGGTGCCCGCACTCACCCAGCACTTTCTTCTCCGTCTCGGCCGCGGCCGTTGTGGCGGTGGCGGCAGCGCCGGGGGCCGCCTCGCCCACAGCCGCGCCCGGCGCGGCGGCGCTGCCGGGGCTCTTGGCACCGCCGTCCGGGGCGGCGGGCGCGGCAGTGGCGGCGGCAGTGGTGGTGGTGGCGGTGCTGGTGGTGGTGCTGGCGGCGGCCGGGGCGGCGGTGCTGGTGGTGGTGGCGGCGGCCGTGCTGGCAGCGCTGGTCTCCGCCGCCTCGCTCATGGTGCCGGCTGGGCGGTGGCGGCGCGTGTGGCTCGGGCCGCGCTGGGTCTTACTGGCCCCAAAATGGCCCCGCCGAAGTTTTAACACAGTCAGCGAGGGCCGGGCCGGCACGCGCGCCGCCTCATTAGCATTTAAAGGGGCCGCGCCGGCGGCGTGAGGGGAGCGGGGCCGCCCCCGCTGCGGCCTGTCCCGACACCGCACCGCCTGTCGCGATACAGCTCCACACCGCGTGTCCCGGCATGGCACCACACCGCCTGTCACGATACAGCGCCACACCGCGTGTCCCGACACCGCACCCCGTGCCACGATACAGCGCCACACCGCGTGTCCCGACACGGCACCACACCACCTGTCACAATACAGCGCCACACCGATTGTCCCGACACCGCACCGCGTGTCCCGGCACGGCACCACACCGCCTGTCACGATACAGCACCACACCGCGTGTCACGGCACCGAACCTCATGTTCAGACACGGCACCACACCGCACCCAATGTCTCGACACCGCACCACATGTCCTGACACGGCACCCCGCTGTGTGTCCCTGACAGGGCACCACACAGCATGTCCTGGACACGACACGACACGACAGGACACGACACGACATGACACGACACGACACGACAGGACACGACATGACACAGCATGCCCTGCTCCGCGCTGGTGCAGCCCCACCCTGAGCACTGTGTGCGGTTTTGGTCACCGCGATGTAGGACATGTCACAGAACGTGCTGAGCTGGAAGGGACCCACCGGGATCATCGAGTCCAACCCTCAGCCCTGCTCAGGACCATCCCCAAGGGTCACCCCCTGTGCCCCAGAGGATCATCCAAAGCCTCCTGGAGCTCTGGCAGCCTTGGGGCTGTGCCCACTGCCCTGGGGAGCCTGTTCAGTGCCAACCACCCTCTGGGGAAAGAACCTTTTCTTGAGATCCACCCTGAGCCTGCCCTGACACAACTCCAGCCATTCCCTGGATCCTGTCCCTGGTCCCCCAGAGCAGAGCTCAGTCCTGCCCCTCCTCTGTCCCTGCCCAGGAAGCTGGAACTGCAGTGAGGTCTCCCCTCAGTCTCCTCCAGCTGAACACACCAAGTGCCCTCAGTGTCCTCACAGGGCTTCAAATCAAGGCCCTTCCCCATCTTCGCTGCCCTCGGGCACACGGTGTGACTCCTGGGAATGGTCCTGGGCACGGCCAGGAGTTGGACTGATGATCCCTGTGAGTCGCTCCCAGCTCGGCATATTCTGTGATTGTCTGTGTTATCACAGCCCCGTGTGTGCCCCTTTACATCCACACCCTCTCGCAGTGTTGGAAATGAGATAACTTCTCTAATTTTTAATGGTCTTAGTTAACCTTTCGATTAGGTGCTTTAACTAATCACGATTAGGCCTCACATCACTTTTAGCCAGCATGTAGCAAAAGAAGTTGCCATCATAAACTACTTTTGTGAGAACATAGCTCGGGAGAAGTTCTAAAACTGTTAGGTTTTGTTACAGTTAACCTGGATATGCTTCAACAAACAAAGCCCAGGAGAGAAGATGTATGGATGAAGCTGGACATGTGGAACTCAGGACTTATGGACTACAAGGAACCAGCAGATAAGGACGAAGACTGACAAAAGCTCAGTGTTTGTGTCGGAAAAAGATACTAAAAAGACTAAAGATACAAGCTAATTACCATAAGCAATGAGAGATTGATAACCAAAAGTGCATAGAATACTAATTAATGAAAGGGAATTATGTAATTTAGAACCGATGATCATTAATTTCTTTGTCAGAAATGTATAAGTAGGTGAAAAAGTGATGTATTGGTGTCTGCGTGGGAGGCAGGATTTTTGTCAGACACATCCACACCCAGCACTGTAAATAAAGTAATGCCTTGCTTTCTGAAACTGAAAAGACAGTGTTAGAGAGTTTTATTTACCCCAAGGATTTCTAAGGCATTTGGAAACAATTTTTACTCTCTTTTGAGCTTTACACACACCCCATCCTTATTGCACATTCTCCCCCATATCACTTTCCTTATTTGCCTCTGCTGGTGTCCATCCTTCCTCCCTAGATGGAATTCAGGGTGTTTTCCACCCAGACAGGGTACACTACTCCCAGTTCTACTACTTAAACCAATTTCTACAGCCCAGAAATTATTTCTTTTACAATTCTCCTCGTAGCCTCCCACTGTACACATAAGAAAAAAAAATACACTTTTTGTCCCATAGATTTTAATCCTCCACTGATGTTCATTTCATTACTTTGTATCATTTTCTGTTTTCAGGGTACATGAAAATTTCGAAGAGGATGGTCTTTCAAGTGAGTTTTGAGAGGAAGGCTTGTTTTGTTAAGTCAAATGCACAGTCAAGACACTGACGTGCACTTGATATATCAGATTTATTTTCGGTGAAGTTGTTAGTTAATTTTTCTTCCTCGAGTTAATTTTAAAGTTTACTGAAAAACCCATTCAACAACAACAACAATAAAATGCAGCATTACAGGCTGTGGCAACGTACTGGGATAGAAAATTGGCAGTGACATCCGCCAGCTCCCCTCAGCACTTGTGGATGCATCCCCTCAAGGCCCATGCATGTCCAACTTTTCTGAGTATTCCTTGACTGGATCCTCTTCCACCAAGGCTGTTGAGGTCCAGGAGCCCCCAATTTATCCATGTGGTTTTGCCTGCCTCCCTGCTTGTCAGGATGGGCAGCTCTTGAGCTTGCAGGAGGTGCTTGCTGAACAGAAACCCATTCAACAAAGCATAACAAAGTTGCAAAGTTCAACAAGGAAAAGTTAGGAAACACTAGGAATTAGGTTGCTTGTAAGCTCAGCCTCCTTAAGGGTAGGGATAATTATATATTTCTTGATGAGCCCATCACATATTCCTCTTCCCACAGGATCCTGCCTTTTTTTCCTTCAGCAAACGAGCTGGTTTTCAATAGTCCCTTTCATCCTCCTCATTTGATGTGCACTTATTGAATGCATATTATATAACCCTCAGATTAGGTGCAGAATTATTCATCCCCTTCTTTCTTCAGGATCCTGTGGGGCTCTTACCATTATGTATCCGTGATGAGTGCATTTTATCCAGCACCAGGAGACAGCTGGGATTATCATCTCCATTCTGGCAACGGGGAACAGAGGCAAAAAGGGATTAATGCCACTGTTCTCAAACATCTGTTGATTATGTGTGGCTGCCTTGAACACACATGCATTTCTTTTCCAGGGGACTTGCTGTTTTCACAGGTTGGGTGGGACAGGAGATGCCTGCCTGAGGCTGGGACATATGGCGTGGAATTTGTTAGATGGGGCCGTTTTATGTCCTATTTTATTGTAGGTGAGGTTGTCCCTGCAGATCCTGAGTCAGAGGAGATGCCTTGTGGAAAAACCAGCAAGTTCAAGGTAGCCACCCATAAGCAGCAGATACCTGAAAACAGCAGCATTAATGCTGAAAAGGTCTTGAAATGTGCTGCTTAAAGCTCAAATACCAAAAGACAGCTCAGAAAAGCTAAAATTCATCGTTGTTCCAGATATTTCCTTATTTAAACCAGCCCCGGTGAATCTGGAGTGCTGGGAAGTGGCAAAACGATCCCATAAGAGTTCTAGACCAGATAAGTGAAGCCTATTTGATGATTTATGGATAGAAATATAATTTTTTATTTATAAATATCTCTTCAGGGGCCTCAGGCTCTACCGAGAAATCTGAAGGGAAAACAGGGTTCCTGAGTATTTTACGTGGCAGATGATACTCAAGGTGGTTGCTTTCACCTGTCTGTAACAGGACACACTGATCCAGTAAGAGTTCAAAGAGCAGACTGAACTGATTCTGTAATTAGAAAATGTGGTGTTCACCAAGGCATAGACACATTTTGCAGGCACGAATCAATTCCTGGAATTGTGTTTCTTGGAGAAAAAAAAAACGGTAGCACCTTTCCATAAGGAAGAAAGGTTCTGTCTTCTGAATTTACCTTCCCCTGAAAAAAGAGAGCCAGTTCCTATTAAAGCAAGTCCCACTCCCCTGTTCTACACAGCTAATTTTCCTTAATTCTTCCCAGGAATTTCTGAACTCGCAGGAGCATCATCCCATGCAGAAATAAAACCCTTTTTTTTTTTGCACATAACTCAACACAATACACCTGTGCTGAAAAGCTAACAGAGAATCAAAAATATTTAAAATGGAAAGGAAAACAAGCCTTCCAAGGCCAGTAAAAATGACACCTTTATCCAAATTTGTACCTCTTACGTGGAGTACACCGAAGGTATTTATTCGAGGTCCAACGATGAGGCCATTCAGCCAAGAGTCAGTAGATGGCAGTAAAAGATGAGGAATAAGGAAGATTTAATCTGTGATTTTTTTTTTTTTAACATGTCACAGGGGAAGGGACGGTTGGTATAATTAATGCAATTAAAATGCATTAAAAAGTGGAAATATAAATAACAAAACGCCCAGTTCACATTGGAAGCAGTTGGACATTTTTCGCAGAGCAATGGCTTCTGACACACAGAAAACTAATTCAAAGTTCTTCAAAACCTAAAGCTTTTTCAGCAGGTAAAACTTTCCAAAGAAAAGCCTTCCAATGAAAATAGAGGCATTAATTCCACCGAAAAGTTATCTCAAGGGAAAGCCGTTTAATCACATGAAACACTTAGTGGAAAGGGCATCCTCAGCTGAGTCACCAGCAACCACAAAGACTCCTGGATTTTACATTCTGGGCCTGTCCCTGCTGAGAGTGAGAGATCCCTCATGTCACAACCCCTAGGAGGGTTTAAATTAAACCAACCTCACACACACTGTGTGAGGCTGAGCTTCATTTAATGGCTTAAATCCCAGAGGGACACGGGTTCTCTGAAGAGACTTCAGCAGGATTCTTTGGGAAACCCCAATTAGAGCCAATTTATCCTTGCAATACCACTTCAGTTTGCAGTCCATAACTAAAATACATACTTGATAAAATTTTGAAACAATAAATAGATAATTAATATAAAATATTTGATTAAATCTGTGATTGAGGCAAGGGAATCACAGTTCTTTGAGGTGTCACCTGGGGAACTTAACCATCAAAATGCACGTGGTATGTTATATTTA